GTGCAGTATAAAGAGGTGGTTTAAATCTCAGTATCTAGAGTCAGACAGATTTAAGTTTAAATCATGGCACTGCCTCTTATTATTATAGCTGTGTGATATTAGGCAAGATATTTAGACTCTCTGAGGCTCGGTTTCCTCATCTATGAAATGAAGGTTTTAGTACCTTCCTTAAAGATTTGTTGTGAGGATTAATGTAAGGATTTGCAGTGTTTGAATGTATTAAGGGTAGAAATAAATGAAAGCCCTATCGTAATATCTTAACCACTGCAAGTAAATGTTGTTGAACTCTATGACCACTCCAACTTACTTCTTCTGCTTCCATGATTCCTAATGGGCAGAAGCCAATCCCGCAAGAGTTTATCCATGGCTGGGAAGTGAGAGCAGTTGATCCTTGTCACTTGTCTGGAATGGGGCTTTTATTCTCACGCTTTAAAGGACACCAGGATCCCCAGGGAGCATATGTTAGAGTCCAGATTCCCAAGCTTCGCCTCCAGAGACTCAGATTCATTGAGTCTGAGGTGGTACTTGGGAATCTGCCTTTTAGTAATACCCAGATGATTCTGATGCAGAGACTACAAGGACTACACTTTGGAAACTTCTAGTACAGTCATTCCTTGGTATCCACAGGGGGTTGGTCCCAGGACCACCCACAGATACCAAAATGCAAGAATACTCAACTCCCTTATATAAAATGGCACAGTATTTGCATATAACCTATGCACATCCTCCCATATACTTTAAATCATCTCTACATTACTTATAATGCCTAATCCAATGTAAATGGTATATAAATAGCTATTATACTGTACTTTTATTTGTATTGCTTTTTATTGTTGTATTGTTATTTTTTTGTTGGTGGTGGTTTTTTAAAAATATTTTTAATCTGAAGTTGGTTGAATCCATCATGCAGAACCATGGACACAGAGGTCCAATTATATGTATCATTACTCAGACTGACTCAGATATCAACCCTTTCCCTAACTCCCCAAACAGAATCCATCCTTTATCCCTGTGCCCTGCAGTATTTTGCCCATATCTCAGCAGCAGCTCCTATCATACCTCTATCTCCAAACCAGCTTGGGAACCCTTCCACACAGGGACTGTGTCTTATTCATCCATGTAGCCCCAGAACCAAGCACAGCACCTGAAATGCAGTAATTGAAATCTCACTCTTGATTTCTGCACCCCTAACCTGCTGTCCCTACCCCAGGGTGGTAACTGATACCATCATTTACCCAGTTGTTTAGATCAAAAACCTTGGCATCATCCTTACTTCTCTCTCTGAAAAGCTACATCCAATCCATCAGCAAGTCCTGTTGGCTTTACCTACAAAAATGTCCAGAATCCAACCACTCGCACCGCCTTCCTGCTACTCGTGCTGGCCCCGCACACCACTGTCTCTTTCCCATACCACCTGTTCTCGCTGCTTCCACTCTTGTCACTGCACAGACTGTTCTCAACACAGCAGCTCAGATGAACTCTTCTCTTTTATTACAGGACGAAATTTTAATCCTTGTCAGACTACACCTCTGCCACCCAAAGCTCCAGTGATTTCCCATTTCGCTCAGAAGAAAATCTAAACTCTCACCGTGGCCCACAGGGCCTCGAAGTTTTCTGCACCCTCTCCGCCCACCTCACCTCCCTCTCTCTTCCCATGCTGTTTTTCTTACTGTGCCTGAGATAAATCAAGCCCACTCCTGCCTTAAGGGCTTTTAACTCACCTCAGGAGCAGAGAGCACTGTGTGCTTTCCTCCCTCACTTCATTTAGGTCTCTGAGCTTTTCCACCTCCGGGAGACATAAAGTGGCCACTCCCTTACATTGCTCTCTATCACTGAAAACTTGTCTTTCTCTTCTTTTCTTTTTTGAAGCATTTAAAATTTTTTAATTGTGCTTATGTTTTGAATAGATGATATGTTCACTAGGTACAAAATTTGCAAGGCACAAGAGTGCACACAAACATTTCTCCTTCCTACACTGGTTTCCAGGCACCCAGTTACCCTCCTAGGAGGAAATCAAGGTCACCAGTTTCTTCTTTATCTTCCAGAGATATTCTCTTCATGCACAAGCAAATACATGAGCATGTATGCATTTTATGTTCTCTTTTTTTTAGAGAAATATGCGCTGTTTGGTTTTCTTTTTTCAACAAAATATGTATCTTAAAAACACTTACAGTCATACATTGGAGATATTGCAAGTTCAGTTTCAGACCACTGCTGCAATAAAGTGAATAGCACATAAAACAAGTCACATGAATTTTTAGGTTTCCCAATACATTTAAAAGTTATGTTTTATATTATACTATAGTCTATTGAGTATGAAATAGCATTATGTCTAAAAAAACAATGTACATACCTTAATTTAAAAATACTTGCTCAAAAAATGCTAACGATCATCTGAGCCTTCAGTAAGTTGTTATCTTTTTGCTGGTGGAGGTTTTATGAATCCACTCATGAATTGATGGGCACTTGGATTGTTTCCACAGCTTTGCAATTCTGCTGCTATAAACATTCGCGTGTAGGTGTCTTTTTTATAGAGTGTCTTTTGTTCTTTTGGGTGGATGCCCAGTAATGGGATTGCTGGATCAAATGGTAGATCCACTTGTATTGCTTTAAGTTATCTCCATATTGCTTTCCACAGAGGTTGAACTAGTTTGCAGTCCTACCAGCAATGTAGGAGTGTTCTTAACTCTCCACATCCACACCAACATTTATTGTTTTGGGACTTGTTAATAAAGGCCATTCTCACTGGAGATAAGTGATATCTCATTGTGGTTTTGATTTGCATTTCCCTGATGATCAGAAATGTTGAGTATGTTTTTATATGTTTGTTGGTCATTATTTTGTCTTCTTTTGGAAAGTTTCTGTTCATATCCTTTGCCCACTTTTTGATAGGGTTGTTTGATTTTTTTTCTTACTGATTTTCCTGAGTTCTAAATAGATTCTAGTTACCAGCCCTTTATCGGATGTGTAGCTTGTGAAAATTTTCTCCCATTCTGTAGGTTCTCTGTTTGCTCTTGTGACAGTTTCTTTGGCTGTGCAGAAGCTTTTAAATTTGATCAGGTCCCATTTATTTATTTTTGTTGATGCTGTGATTACCTTTGGGGTATTCTTCATAAATTCTTTGCCTAGGCCAACATCTAGAAGAGTATTTCCAATGTTTTCCTCTAGAATTCTAATAGTTTCACACCTTAAGTTTAAGTCTGATACCCAGCATGAGTTGATTTTTTTTTTTTTTTTTTGAGACAGAGTCTCGCTTTGTTGCCCAGGCTAGAATGAGTGCCGTGGTGTCAGCCTAGCTCACAGCAACCTCACACTCTTGGGCTCAAGCGATCCTTCTGTCTCAGCCTCCCAAGTAGCTGGGACTACAGGCATGTGCCACCATGCCCGGCTAATTTTTTCTATATATATTAGTTGGCCAATTAATTTCTTTCTATTTATAGTAGAGACGGGGTCTCGCTCTTGCTCAGGCTGGTTTCGAACTCCTGACCTCGAGCAATCCGCCGCCCCGGCCTCCCAGAGAGCTAGGATTACAGGCGTGAGCCACCGCGCCCGGCCATGAGTTGATTTTTTGTGAGAGGTGAAAGGTATGGGTCCTGTTTCAGTTTTCTATATGTGGCTATCCAGTTTTCTCAGCACCATGTATTGAATAAGGATTCTTTTCCCCAGTGTATGTTTTTGTCCGCTTTGTCAAAAATTAGATGGCTATATGAGGATGTTTTTATATTTGGGTTCTCTGTTCTGTCCCACTGGTCAATGTCCCTATTCTTGTGCCATTCCCAAGCTGTTTTAATTATTATAGCCTTGTAGTATAGTTTGAAGTCTGGTAAATTGATACTTTCCATTTTGTTTTTATTGCCTAGGATTGCTTTTGCTATATGGGTCTTCTCTGGTTCCATACGAAGCATGAAATTATCTTTTCTATATCTGTGAAAAATGATGATGGTATTTTAATAAGGATTGCATTGACTCTGTAGGTCACTTTGGGTAGTATAGACATTTCAACAATGTTGATCCTGCCCACCCACAAGCATGGTATGGTCTTCCACCTGTTTACATCCTCTGCTGTTTCCTTCTTCAGTGTTTCATAGTTCTCCCTGTAGAGGTCTTTTACCTCCTTAGTTAAATATATTCCTAGGTACTTTATTTTCTTTGTTGCTATTTTGAAGGGAATTGAGTCTTTGATTTGGTTCTCACTTTGACTGTTGTTGGCGTATATGAATGCCTCTGATTTGTGCGTATTGATTTTGTATCTCAAGACTTAACTGAATTCATTTAATAATTCCAGTAATCTTTTGATTGAATCCTTGGGGTTTTCTAGGTATAATATCATATCATCAGCAAAGAGTGAGAGTTTGATCTCTTCTGCTCCCATTTGGACACCCTTAATTCCAATCTCTTGTCTGATTGCTATAGCAAGGACTTCCAGCACTATGTTGAATAGAAGTGGAGACAGTGTGCTACCTTGTCTTGTTCCAGTTCTAAGTGGGAATGCTTTCAATTTTTCCCCATTCAGTATTATGTGGGATGTGGGTTTGTCATATATGACTTGTATCATTTTTAGGTAAGCCTCGTCTGTGCCTATTTTGTTAAGTGTTCTTATCATAAAAGGGTGTTGAATTTTGTCAAATGCTTTTTCTGGATCTGTTGAGAGGATCATATGGTCTTTGTTTTTGCTTTGTCTTTCTCTTCTTAACCAAAGAAAGTTGTCTCTAAGGAAAGAGAGTGGGTTAGAGCAGGTTGGACATAGAACTATTTTTCCTATTCTCTTTACTTCTTTTGGGTCCAGGCCAAATGTTTCTACCATCTTGTTTTTATCTGACTACACATAATGTAGAGTTAATAACTGGGAAAACCTTCTAGATTGAAGATAAACAGGTTGACCTCTGGGCCAGAAGTAATAGCAACAATCACTTTTGATGTTGTCTGTATGTTTTTCTTGCTTAGCAGTTCTGCCTTTGGTGATTCTGAAACATACACAGTCTGAATCCTTGTTTTCACAGGACTTCTTGGGCCCACTTTATATGCTGAAGTTGGAGACATCATGAAAATTCACTTTAAGAATAAGGCAGACAAGCCCTTAAGCATCCACCCTCAAGGAATTAGGTATAGTAAATTCTCAGAAGGTAAGAGGAACTTAATATCCGTCTAACAAGGGAAAATGCACAACTCTTTAATACCAGTGTCAAACATTTAAAACCATATTGTTAACCATGTGTTGTTAGAGAAAACTCCTTTATTGTAGCTGCTAATCATAAAAATTGTTGCTGTTATAAGTTTCAAGAGAAGAAACCAAAAAGGTTCTGGAGTCCTGTAGATATCCATTTTTTACTAGGTTCATGTTCCTTAATGGTTGGGTGGGCAAGTTACCTAATCTCCCTCAATTCCAATATGTTCATCTTCAAATGAGAATAATAATACACATATTGCAAAATGGTTTAAGGCAAAGGTCAGTAAACTTATCTGTAAAGAGTCAGATAGTATATATTTTTGGCTTTGCAGGCCGTAGAATATCTATTGCAACTACTCAACTCTGCCTTCTAGTACAAAAGCAACTATAGACACTATGTAAATGAACAAGCATGGCCATGTCCCTATAAAACTTTATTTACAAAAACAGGCAGCTGGCTGGATTTGGCCCATGAACCATTGTCATAGTGACATAGGACTAGCCTGACATAGGCTAACCTGGCACGTGGATGACACTCAATAAACGGTGTTTGTAGGGGTGGACCTAGAAGTAATATTGGAATTTTGGACATTGTGATTAAGGACATAAGCTTTGAAGGCAGACTTAGGTTCAAATTTTAGCTTTATCATTTCTGGTTCTATGACTTTAGCATTTCAGAGCCTCAGTTTTCTCATCTATAAAATGGAAATGGTTATGCCCACCCATGAGATTGCTGGAGGATTAAATGATATCATTTAGATATAAACATGGTTCCTGATAAGGTCTCAATAAATAATGTTGATAATAATGGTGACAATGATGGCAATGATCATAAAGATGATGGTGATGAAAGTTATTGCATCAGCCACTGGATAGTAAGTACCCGTTATTAATATTATTTTAATTATTCCCATTATGCTGATGATCAGATCATAATAACCCTGGTAGAGTTCCGTCAGGCACTGGCATAAAAAAAGTATCCATATTGTCATAGTTGTTGGTATAATAACATTTTAAAATAATTTCAAACTTCTATGGTTCACAAATATCCTTCCTTCTCTCACATGTTCCAGCCATCCTCCCTTTGCAGAGAGAATCAAGTAGGAGAGTGGTTTACGATGCAGGATTTAGAACTAGACTGATAGGTGCAAATCCTGGCTTGGATACTTTCTAGCCATGTGACTTGTGGAAAGTTATATAACTTCTCTGTGCTTCATTTTTCTCATCTGAAAACTGGGGATAATAATCATAGCTATCTCATAGAAGCTCGTTGTCATGAAATCTTAGAACAATGCCTGGCGTATCATAAGCAGTCAAAATATTATCTATGATAGTAAAGATGATTCTTCAATCAAAATGTGTTCAAGTTATTTAATATTTATCTGAAAACTTGTTAGTTAGAAAGTGATTTTTACATTTATTATTCCCAATGTAAATTGTTGTCAAACTCATTCCCCCTAACATATAAGTGACTGATAATAGGTTGGTGAATTACCTTCCCCAGGAGTATTTGCATTAGTACTTAATCTTTGGCTTGAGGAAAAACAATGAAGTGTTAATTGTGAAATTTCAGACATCTTCAAAAGCAAATTTGGTAAGACTTGGGGCAAGACAGTGTGCACAGAAGTTTCTTCTATGTCCCTAAAATCATACGATGACGTAATGAACAATCACCTAACCTACTTATGAAGCTTCCAGATGACTGCACAGTAGTTTAGCAATATACAACAGGAGGAGAGAAAAACCAAAATGTCAAAATGTCACAAGCAGGTTCCATTTTAAATAAGGGAAGAAGTAAGAGTCATAGACTTTGTACTCAAGCTGGGCTGTTTGCACAGTGAATGAACTTTGCAACATTATCCCTTTTCCTTTACTGTTTATTTGTCCCGATATCCCCCTACGGCCAACAATCATTTATGAGCAATTGGTTAAAATCCTCCCACTCCTTCCACTGGAGATCTGATTATGGGTGTACAATATTGCCTCTGGTCTCATCAATCTAAGAAAGGTAAATATGTATCGGAAGGAAAAGTAAATTTTTTCTCAGAAATGAGATGCAAATCTAGTAAATAGATAGCGTCCTTCGTGGAAAAAGACAAGTCTTCTGTTCATTTTACCACACCCTCTGTGTTAAAATAAAACATCTTCTTTTTCATGTCTGACACTCACCCTCCCACATAGCCTCCCTCTATGGTTTGAGCTGCTTTTTCAGGAGTGGGGATAAACTGACTCCATGCTGAGCCAGCTACACGCAACTCCAGATTTCTCTATCTCAGAGCTGGATATTTACGAGATGGATGGTAGGGGATTGAGATAATAGGCTTGAGAAACCACGATAACACATTAAGACAAGACTGGATAATCTTTTTTGACAGGATGGGCAAATCATGGTTTGTAAAGATGCTTACAAGGATATTCCATTTAATAATTTAATTAATAAGAATATGTCTTCAAAGCAGGAAATAAAATATCTGCAACTGTACTTAATCATTTTAAAACGTTTTATTACTAAAAGAGTTTCAATTTGAGATTAAATTTTCAGAAACTGTAACTAGCATGTATTGACCTCTTTATTGTAACACCACATCTTTGCATAAGTTTTGTTGTTCAGTAAGATTTTCAAAGCTTTTTTGGTCACTTACCTTTAAAAAGCTTGTTTCATAATAAATTTAATATTCCTTTATTTGATTTACATTCTCATATTTTAAATGTACTCTACCATAAAACTAGCTCTGTAATATTTAGCCAAGTGCTGGTAAGCCAGCTCTCTGAATAAAACATGTTTGCCACCAGAGATTGTTCCTTGCGTCTAAGTGTTGCCAAATTCTCCATATGAAAACTTAGTCTTCCAGATTTTTCCAAAACATTCTATGCTTGATATAACATAGGTAATTATATTTTTCACTTTTCATCTGAATACTTTGGCCTTATATAGACATTTCCTTGAGTATATGATAAACACCTGAAACAAACTGTAATAGCTAATATAATAATTCTCATAAATCACAAATACGTGAGCTCTCCTTCCAAAGAGACTTGCAAGCTCTGTGCAATGGAATCAGGCTCTTTACAAAACATTAATTGCCCATTGCCTAAATTGTAGCTTCTAAAAGAATGTTCTGAATCTTTGAATGCACTGAAGCATTCCCTAAGTTTATTAAATGAAGAGGAAAAGAGTTTTTCACAAAAATAAGTAACAAAGGAAAATTTACTGAATGAGCATCCTAATGGGTAACCAAAAAATCTCTTTATGTAACTTTGCTTTCCCAAAGCTTGTACATACCATTTTATATTAAAAAAAATACTTAGAGCCTTTTGGCAAATAATTAGTACCTCATGACAAGAGTAAACAAATTACAAAGTTGACTATCGACTGAGCAGGAAGCGAACAGAACAGAGCAAATACAAAATGAAGGGCTATTCTTGTGTAAAGAATTTATTCTAGCAAGAAGATGAACAAGGACTTTTTGTGCTCTAGCACAATAGTCGTCCCTGTCCATTTCCTCCTGTTTTCAGGTTAGATTTTTAACTTTTTATTTTGATTACAAAGTCAAAATCAAATTCACCAAAAATGTATTTCATAAATGCTGCCTCTAAATAGCTGTTTGTGTTTATATTTCATATATTATGTAGGTTGCAAAGTCAAAGATGCAACGTGCCTGTTTTATTTTAGACTAAAGGTAAAATAATTTGAAGTGAGAAGAATAAAAGCATTGTTAAAATTATCCCCCAACTATCTCATTAGTAATCCTAATTTAGTATAATTACAGAATATACCCCATGTGCAAATCCATATTGTTCACTATTTGTTTTTTGGGGTTTTTTACTATGTTCTCTATCCTCCTGAACACTATTTGTTTTAAGATGCCCATGATTCATATTTTAGTAGTAAACTTAATTACAATCATTTATTTAATTATTTGAAATTTATCTTATATTTAATTGACAGCTGAACGTGAAATTCTGAGTAATTTACCCTAGTAAACTACATGGACATTAATTTGTGTGACTACAGCAAACTTTCACTATCCATATGTATATCAAAACATCATGTTGTACATAAACATATACAATAATTTTTTTAAAAAAAAACTAGGTGTTAAAATAAGTCTAGGTGTGAAACACTGACTATTCACAAATAAGTTTGCTATCATTAGAAAATGAGTCACACTGCTATGTCTAGCACAAGAGTTATGGCATCTTAGGTAATTCTTAGATATTTATGTTGTTTAGTCCTCATTGTGGATGAACACTGTGTTCTAATTGTGACCTCTGCACTGAGCGACCCTAGCAGAAATCTAGAGATAAAACCCATCACAACTAGGGCACCAGCATGTGCCTTACAGTGGATTAGGCTGAGCCGCTCAGGAGCTCAGGCTGTGTCTTCTTAAATTTGCACCACGGCACCACAGAGCCTGGAACCTAGTAGATGAAGATGGTAATGATGATGGTGTTCATCATTGCTGAACTGAGGGACTGAGGATTGATTAGAAAGTAGGGACTATGCATTATTTTCCCCTTGCTCCAAAATTTCTTGATTTTGCTGGTCTCATCACCAGTTTTTGTCACCTTTAGAATAGATGTATCACTGTAATGGACTGGATGTTTGTGTCCTCCCAAAATGCATATGTTGAAATACTAACCCCCAGAGTGATGGTATTAGAAGGTGAGGACTTTGAGAAGTGTTTAGGTCAGGAGGGTAGAGCCTTCATGATGGGATTAGCACCCTTATAATAAAAGGGACCCCAGAGAGCTCTCTTGCCCTTTCCCAGCATGTGAGGATACAAGAAGACAGCAATCTGCAACCTAGAAGAGGAACCTCACCAAACCCAGCCATGCTGGCACCCTGATTTCAGACTTGCAGCCTCCAGAACCCTGAGAGATCAATGTCTGCTGTTCACAAGTCACCCACTCTAGGGTGCTTTGTTGTAGTGGCCCAAACCAAGACAGTCGCCAATGTCAATCTTTCTCACATGTGTTATAAGAACTCAAGATCACTTAAGATATATCTTAACCAAAGTAAAACATAAAGGGAAGAGGCTGTATTAATTGCAAAATGGCTGGAAAAGGAAATACTTAACCAAAATGCTAAAGTGTATTCCCACAGGCTGCGGCAGCATTTGTTAGGAGCCAGACATTTCTCATATATTTTCCAGTCCTCATAACCCATCAAAAAGGATAGTGTTATCTCTACAAAAGGGATTATATTTCTTAAATTGTGAATGATAAAACAGAGGCTAAAAGGGATGTTTAAGAGACTTTCCAGATATCTGAATGATGAGAAGGAGCCAGCCACGCTAAGACTTTAAGGGAAAGTGTTTCTGGCAGAGGGAATGGCAAAAGCAAAGACCCGGTGGTGGAAATGGGCTTACTTTTTCAAAGAACAGCAAGAGCCAATGTGGCCAATGTGAAATGAACAGGTGTAACATGTCAGGGAGGCCCTGGGAAAGGAGTCTAGGGCTCCAGTGAGAAGTCTGACCTTCCAAAAGACATTTGGGAGTCCATAAGAGTTCCTGGATTCCTGGTGGTTTCTGTTCTACTTGGCTAGAACAGAAACATGTGAGAATACAAGATGTCCATCTGCAAACCAGGAAGAAGGCCCTCACCAGACACTGGATCTGCCGGCACTTGATCTTGGACTTCCTAGCCTCCAGACTGTGAGAAATAAATATTTGTTTTTCAAACCGAAAAAAAAAAAGGAAGAAAAAACTTTCCCAAGTTCACACAGTTAGCAAGTGATATAACCAAGACATTACAACTCTGCTCCCAAAGTTCATGTACTTTCTCCCACGATCCAGCAGGAAAAAATACCATTAATCATGTAATCTCATAAATATTTAATTATAAATTGTGATGAGTGCTATTAAAAAAACATGCATCACAATCAGACACCAAGGAAGGTATAATCTGACATTTATTCTGACATCTGAAAGATAAGCAAGCATTCATCCAGAAACAGAAAGGGAGGAAGAATTTCAAATGTTATCTCTTACTCTGCAAAAGAACATTACAAAACTCTACAAAAAGAACATTACTTTTTGTCCCTTTGAGAGCTTGTGAAGGCAGTTGAAAGAATATCATTTTCTGCTATAGAAACCCCCTATGATGTTTTAATAGTTGGATCAGTGGAAGCTCTGGAAACATGATTTTTTAACTTCAGGAGGCCGTATAGCATGAAAAGTTGAATAGGGACTGGTGTACTTGATTCAAGATCATGCAACTCAACTAGCCATGCTAGTTCCAGCTCATACACAAGGTTCAGCTGAGAAGGCAGCTCTCCTTATCAGTCTTGTTTGTGCTTTGCTACCAAGGCTCTTTTGTAACTTTTCAGATATAATGCTCCCTGTTTATCAGTGGAGACTCTTCCTCAAAAACTTTTTTTTCCTCCTTCTTGAGATTAGAATAATGTTGTAACTCACAGGAAGTTATTTAAGCTTTTGTCATTTCTCAGCTTCTGATAGTTTTAACAATTAAATCCTCTTTATCATCAAAGTGAAAGTTCAACCTATAGTACATGTCATTTATCAGTGTCAAGCCATTTTGGGGGAGGGAAAAAAAGACACAACAGAGTCCAATATTAAGCTTTACTCTAATGCAATGGTCACAAACTCAGATGCCTAAAGTACCCAGGCAAAAAATTCAATGAAAAAGTGGGTCTAGTAGGGATTGGTGATCAAAAAGAAGAGAACAGCCAAGACCCAGGTCCAGCCAAATTCTATGCAGGAGTTTGGTCCTATTATTATCAGATCTCCAGGGTTTTTATTTTTTGTATTTTTGTTTGTTAAAGAGAAACCAACAATCCAGATTCTTAGATATCTCCAAGTTTTTAATGTTGGCATTTAATCTGTTTTAATACCATGCGACCCAAACACACCCAAGAGTTATGACGTGGTGACCTTGGCTTTAGCCCATAGGACCTTGAATCTTAGGAGTGCAATAAATATTCATTGAGCATCTTCTCCGTGCTCATGTTCCATGCTTCTCCAGGTACTGTGGAAGGCACTGGAGATACCAGACAAAGACAATCTAGCACTTTCCCTTAAGGAGCTCACACTCTGGTGACCAAAATATGCAGGATGTAAATAATTATAATCTAATAGGAGAAAATGAAATTAATCATATAATCTCATAAACAATTACACATGACATCTGAAAGATGAGCATACATTTATCAAAAGGAGAAAAAAAAGGAGGAAAAGTGCTCTAGGCAGTGGGAATATATCCACAAAGACCATGAGGTAGGGTAGAACTTAGTATGTCTGGGGAACTGATAGGGGCCCGAGTGACTGATACATAGTAAACAAAAGAAAGAATCACACATGGTAAGGCTGGAGAGAGAAGTAGTAGTAAATCATACGTGGACTTATGGTCCATGTTAAGGATTTTGTGCAATAAGTAAGTCTAAATATACCTACTCCACTTTCACATCTTATGGCTTCCATGTTCAGAACCTTATGCAGTACAGCAATGCACATCACTGCAGTACCTGAATGCCCCATTGATGAATGTATGTGCCTTTTTCCCCACTTCTACCTTGAGAGCCCAGACAGATGCTGATGCCATGCAAACTCATGCAGAGTGTTTTGAGTGGAATAGATTTTCCAAAGAAGAGGTGGGGGAAGGTACAGTTAAACAAGGGAAGCTGATTTTGCTGCAATATAAAAATAGTTCATGTGGAAATTGAGCATCTCAGTCTTTGGCTTCTGAACATGAGGAACCAAATTTACCGTTTTTCTTAACAACTAGCCAAGCAGACAAAATATATGAAACAAAAATTTTCAGACATTGAACAACAGGCAAATCAAGAGAGTGACCTATGAGAGAAGAGTAACAACAAACCAGGTGGGCCCTTTGAGTACCCAAGCTCAGTTCTTCAAGAGAGTTCCCAGGGAATCGCATAAGGAAGGCCCGCTCAGTCTCTATGAGTTGAGAAAGCAGAGTTTGGACTTTAGAGAAGCCAAAGTGGCTGGAATTCTTAATATGTGGGGCAGAGTCCTAGAGAGCACCTTGGAAAATTAACTTGCTAAACTGTAATTTACAAGTAACATTTTTTATTCTTCCCATCACAACAACTTTATAACTACATGGGCATAGACGTAGATATATGTGAATCTTTCCAAATGATAAGGTTCACTGTGGAAAGGTATGTGCATCTCTAGAGAGCTTATCTTAGTTTCCCCCAGATATAAAGGTGGTAAAAAAGTAGTCCTTAGAAACTGCCCAGATGTCTTCATGGCTTTTACTTCTCCAGGTGCTTCTTACCCTGACCACACATTCCCTGTGGAGAAGATGGATGACGCTGTAGCTCCCGGCCAAGAGTATACCTATGAGTGGACCATTAGTGAGGACAGTGGGCCCACCCACGACGACCCTCCCTGCCTCACACACATCTATTATTCCCATGAGAATCTGGTACAAGACTTCAACTCTGGGCTGATTGGACCTCTGCTTATCTGTAAAAAAGGTAACAACAATAACAAAAGACTTAACAACAACAAAGATGTTGGAATGGTAAGGAGTTCTATAACGGGACGAGGCTTGTGAGCATCTTGACAACTTCTTGTACCTCAAGCAGAGGAAGAGGGTGCAGAGACCAGATGATTGCTTGAAAAGAGAAAAGACACCTGATATTTGAGGGCTTGGATCCCCCTGTGTTTCTTCTAATTCCTCCTTAATCTCAATCCTGAAGCCTCTCCCAGATAAATTCCTGTTTGAGAGTATGTTCTGGGGCCAGGGTTGTAGGATCGATCTGTGACATTTACCTCAAGGACAAAGTCTTTGTGAAAGTGCCCTGGCCTATATTCTGCTGGGAGAGCTCTTGGAAAGAACTTTTGCTAACATACCTGACATATCTGAGGTTTGGGTTGGTAATTTGGTCTATAAATACATGAGACTCCAGCTGCCTTTCTCATAAACAAACTGAACTCTTTGGGTGGTAGGTTTCAAACATACTCAACTGGATTTATAAGGAATTGTATTGGCTGGGCTTCCTACAGGGAAGCTTAGATCTTACCCCAAGAGAATTTAGGTCATCTTTCATTAAAAAAAGCAAACAACCACAATGAACTGTGTCATGGGAAATAACATGATGGACTCACCATCACACAGACCATATCCACATACCTTCCCAATGTTATGTATCCATTATACAAATATATGTTTTCATTGCCCAGTATATATACTGTGATGGCACTAAAAAAGTTTAAAACTCATAAAAGGCTCTTTTTTCATTTTACTATCAACAGAATTTTTTCCTCATATGAAAATGGATTAATCCTGATACTTCCAACCAATCCTCTAGTGCCCCATTTCACGTACAAACAAGATGACAGCATTAAACTTGGGGTGTGATGCTTTTACCAACCCAGCTAATGTACCTACATATTGGCCTATTGAGACTGGAGGAAAAAGATACTTTTACAGAGCCTTGACAGTCATCAGATGGTTTCTTTCTGCACCAGATAAAATTTACCTTTAAAGCCCTGTTCCCCATGGCTACAAGGTGCCAAAGAAAACAATATGGCACCAGAATAAGCCTCCAACCATGTTACTTGATGAAGATGCTGTTTTTAAAAATAAGCACTACTTCAAATTGATATCATTGTGATTGGTTGCTTGTCCTAAACTCTCTGTTATCTAGGAAAGCTGATGAGAGTATTTACTTGGGACGCTACTGAAGACATGTACTTTCCTTCACAGGCACCCTAAGTGAGGATGGGACTCAGAAGATGTTTGAGAAGCAACTTGTGCTGCTGTTTGCTGTGTTTGATGAAAGCAAGAGCTGGAGCCAGTCATCATCCCTGATGTACACCGTCAATGGCTATGTCAACGGGACGATGCCGGGTAACATGTGGGCCGAGCACCACCCAGCAACAGTAGAATCATTAGTACCTTTGGTCCTGTTGTTTTCTGCAAAGCACTAGGGAAGTTGACCAGACACACAGTTGTGCAACTCCTTATCAGAAAGATAATGTAATCCAGCATAGTAGTTCTCAAGATTTTGTCATTTTAAAAAAAAAAAAAAACAAAACAGAAAATACAACAGACAAATTAGAAGCTAGCTAAGAGAAGGAATGTGCAGCCTTCTTAGGTGTAATGATCTGAGTGGGTTTCACCTTGGCCTGCACCTCCAAAAAGACCTCCAGGATATCAGCGCAGTCTCTTTCCTTTAGCTCTGTGGTCCCTACTATATGGTGACCGTGCCTCCTTCTACTGAAGCTCAAGGTCAATCCTCCCTAGCTGGAAGGGTTGGTAGGAAGAATGCAATAAAGACACTTGTGGTAAAGATGAACAGGAGATTAGGAGTAATCCCCAACACATAAAAATACTGCTGGCATTCCAAAAAAGTGATTAATGAGTATATTCAATGGCATGTAGGATGTTTTCTCTTTGCATTTGTGTGAAGACTCTTGTGAGTAAGCAAAGTCATAGCAACTGTTAAAAGGAAAAACAACTGACTTCCACCTAGACCACACCACTTCTATTCATCACTCCTCTCTGGTAGAACTGACTTATAACTAAGGTTCCAGGGTATATGGCACCAGCCTGAGGGAAAAAAATGGAAAAATGAAAATATCACTTTATTAATATACAAACCATATTTCAATACATTAAACTTTGTAGAAGCTGTTCTATACTATCTGACAGGCACAAATGGCTTCACTTTCTCAAAGACAAATGTCATTAAGAGTTGAAGTATATGTATTGCTTTTAAATGGTATTTTATTTCATTTGACTCTATCTTCTAGTTGGATTATCAAAAACAGACTCATATGACTCTGGGTATTGATTCTGAGTTCTAATACCAGGAGTTTGAAAACATGGAGCTTAATTAACTGCCCTCTACCTTATGAGACCTGAGTTCAAACCTTACTCACTTCTCTAGTGTAGCCCTTGGAAATTAGTTGTCTCAGTATGCTTACTTACAAAAATGGACTAACCATCTATCCTAACATCTATTTCCTGGCAGAATGAACAATCTGTGTAAATGTATTAAAGCCAAAAAAGAAGTAAAGCCATACTCACAAAAATAAAAAATAATAACTTGATCAGAGCAAAGAGTTTATGAATTCATAGTTGAAAGAGAATAATTGGGGGTAAGAGGGACAAGGTAGGGAAATATCAGAAACCGACAATAGTTAATGCTTGTAAAATCATCTGCCTTTGGAGCAGTATAAACTGAATAAATATGATAAATGCTAATGCAGATGTGTTCATTGCCGAATTCAATGAGCATTTCTTTGGGGGTGGATAAATGCTTCTACCAAAGCTGCCTACCTTCCAGCTTCTGTTCTCATCAGAGATACTGCCTTGTTACAAAAGCCTCTTAAAAAAGACAAGTCCCAGCCAGGACTGATTATGTGCCCCATCATATAGTATCTAGTGATTATGGATCTGAAATTTAAAACCTAAGCATAGAAGCCAGGATTGGAGTCTCCCACAGAGCAGATGAGCATTTTCTCAGTTGTTATGGGAGCAAAGGAGCAAAACCTAAGCTCTTGTACTTTGTTATCATTACTTCATCCATGAAAAGCTCCCAGTGGCCCATCATAATGAGGATTTGTCCACTGCATTTTAAGGAGAGTGTTTAACACATATAGTACTTCATTGACTTGTCATTTAAAGCATCAAAAAGTGAGTAAAGAAGCAACAGAAAGTCCTCACATCATCTTCACATCTTCTGTCCCAGAGTTAGAGCTTTGACCTCCACCCAACCTTGACAACGAGGATGTTGAGCTCAGCCCTATTGGAGGTTCTGGTGACTCCCTCCAGTTAAGACCAGATTGGTGTGACCCAGTGTAGCAGGCTCTCAATATATACTTGGTGAGTAAATTTTTGATCACAGAGTACTGTACTGAATACCTGTATTGGCCTCTGTCTCTCCCTGTCTCTCAGATATAACGGTTTGTGCCCATGATCATGTCAGCTGGCATCTGATTGGAATGAGCTCTGGGCCGGAAATGTTCTCCATTCATTTCAATGGCCAGGTCCTGGAGCAGAACCATCATAAGGTCTCAGCCATCACCCTCGTCAGCGCTACATCCACCACTGCAAACATGACTGTGAGCACAGAGGGAAAGTGGATTATATCTTCTCTCACCCCAAAACATTTGCAAGGCAAGAAACTCTTCTGCCAGTCTTGCTTCGGGAAGAAGGCTCCTTGCTTCCCAAGCACTGTCTCCCTCCTTCTCCTTTGCCCTCTTAAGCCACCTGCACCCAGACATACCCGCCTAAGTTCCTAACAACTGTGTTTACATACTCTGCTCTCAGACTTATAATCCACTGGTTGGGGATGGAGGAAGTGAAGGAATTGACAAAGATTTTTTAAAATGAAGCAAAAACTGAAGAGGTCTCAACTTCCTCGAAAAGCAAAAAGAGGAAGGAAACAAATACATACACAGAGGTATCCTATCTTGGAGATAAGTCATACATAGCCAAAGGAAAACACCTAGATGCTAGAACAAGACAAACATCTGCAAATGTACAGAAGCACCAAGTTATAGAAAGCATAAAAGTTTTAACATGAAAAGTTTAGCCTTTACAGTGAAATAAGCACAAAGCTCAGCACAGAGAAGGACTTAATGAATGTGTGTTGAATGGGTAGTACATAATGTCTAAACAGCTGAGGGGTGGGCTTTAAAGAACATCAGTGAATTCAGGTGGGAAAAAAATAGTAAGCCCAAGTTGTTATGTGGTATCATGTAAACAAAATAACTAATTGCTTTACTACACATTTTTGCCTTAAAACTGTTGGGAGGAGGGTTCCTGTAAACAAAGACTAAAATCTAAGTTAATGACTTCACTATAGAAAACCATGTTGTTACCAAAAGAATGTGTAAACAACACATATGAGGAAGAGATACTTTCATGAGATTATTTCGTGTTTTTTTCACATTGAGCAGTCAAAATGATACTTGAAGTAATGAAATTGTCACAATATCTCTGGAAGATAGAGGTCCTAAAAATAATAAAGCAACAATAAAACTAATATTTATTGAACATAAGTGATTTTATATTGTTATTTAATTCTAAACAACAATTTCATTAAGAAAGTATTAGTGTTATCTTTATTTTACAGATAAAGGAGCAGATGACAGGAAAAATTATAATTCGACAAGACCTAAGTCACAGAATTTTAAGGGGCTGGAAATGCTAAGCAAATGTCCTGTTCCAGAAGAAACAAAAGAGATCTTTCCAAGCTTTTTCCCTAACACCTCCTGCCTTTTCCCTGCTTTTTTTATTCTTCACCCCTTCTGCACTCCACTGAAAGTGTCCTAAATCAAAAAGTTACCTGAGCATTACTTCCCCTGTTATTATGTAAACCTTCCAAAATTGATTTAGAAGGCATGCATTGTCATCAATCGTAACTTCTCTCAAACTCTTTTGCTATCTTTATGTCCTAACCCAGCTGGGATGCAGGCTTACATCAACATTAAAAACTGCCCAAAGAAAACCAGAATGCCTAAGAAAATGACTCGTGAGCAAAGGCGCCACATTAAGAGGTGGGAGTACTTCATTGCTGCAGAAGAAGTCATTTGGGACTATGCGCCTATAGTACCAGCAAATATGGACAAGTGAGTTTTCGGGGTTTGTGGCACTGTGCAAAGGTTCAAGACATGTCCCGTAGGGTCCTAGATATGCGGAGATGAAATGTCATGGGTGGACAGCTCTCAAAGGGACACATGTATTGGTTTCCATTCAAGGTCTTTTTTTGATCTTAAATAACCCTAAACTCACCAAGGGAATCCAGTCTAATAATAATAATAGTAATAAAAACAACAGCTACCACCTGTTGAATGCTTGCCGTTGCCAACCACTGTATTAAACCCTTTCTAAGAGCTTAACTTCAACTCTACAAATTAGATACTGCTCTTTTTTTATAGATAAGGAGATAGGTTAGAAACATTAAGAAATGTGGAGATTCAAATAGCTCTTAAACTCTTGAAAAGTTATTCACGTTCACTCAAAAGGCCAGCTGTGGTGGCTCATGCCTGTAATCCTAGCACTCTGGGAGGCCAAGGCAGGCGGGTTGTTTGAGCTCAGGAGTTCAAGACCAGCCTGAGCAAGAGTGAGACCCTGTCTCTACTAAAAAATAGAAAGAAAATGGCTGGACAACTAAAATATATATATAAAAAATTAGCCAGGCATGGTGGCATGCCTGTAGTCCCAGCTATTTGGGAGGCTGAGGCAGGAGGATTGCTTAAGCTCAGGAGTTTAAGGTTGCTGTGAGCTAGGCTGATGCCACGGCACTCTAGCCCAGGCAACAGAGACTCTGTCTCAAAAAAATAAAAATAAAAAAAGAGAAAAGCAAATTAAACACTTCACTGGAATATTATTTATTTTTTTTTTTTTTTGAGACAGACTCTCACTTGTTGCCCAGGCTAGAGTGAGTGCCGTGGCGTCAGCCTAGCTCACAGCAACCTCAAACTCCTGGGCTCAAGCAATCCTGCTGCCTCAGCCTCCCGAGTAGCTGGGACTACAGGCATGCGCCACCATGCCCGGCTAATTTTATATATATATTAGTTGGCCAATTAATTTCTTTCTATTTATAGTAGAGACGGGGTCTCGCTCTTGCTCAGGCTGGTTTCGAACTCCTGACCTCGAGCAATCCGCCCGCCTCAGCCTCCCAGAGTGCTAGGATTACAGGCGTGAGCCACCGCGCCCGGCTTGGAATACTATTTTTTACCTATCAGACTTACAAGTCCAGATGACATCATCTGTTGGCAAGGCTGTGAGAAATAAGCACTGTCATACATTTATGGTGGAAGAGTAAATTGGTAAAGGCATTCTGGAGGATAATTTGGCAATATGTATAAAAGTTATAAATACATGTACCCTTTGGCCCAGCAATCTCACTCTGGGAATCTGTCTACTGGTTCACAGGTGAAATGATGTATGTGCAAGGTATTTACTACTACACTGTTAGTAGTAGCAAAGATTGGAAAAAACCCAAAGTGCCCATCAGTAGAAAGCTAATTTAATAAATTATGGTATATTCATATAATGGAATATAATACATCTGCAAAAAATGATGTGAACACTCTATATGTATTAATATAGAAGGTTCTCAAAGACATATTATTAAATTAAAAAGTCAAGTTGTAGTAGAGTTTATAAATAGCTGCATTTTATTAAAGGAATGGGTGATGAAATATTTATATTTGCTTATTTTCAAGACATATTTGCACATATTTGAATAAAGATATTCTAACATTATACACTTGAAATTAACATAAGTGACTACCTAGAAAATTCAGGGAGAGTTAGGGAGTTCAAGCTGAGGGGATATCAGATGTGAGTAAGAGTTTTCACTGGAATAAAAATCACATAAAAATCATGTGAATGTATTTCCTATTCAGAAAATTAAACTAAGAAAAAGAGAGGGGAATAAAAGACTTGGCCAAGATTATATAATCAGTAGCAGAGCTGAGATGGGAATCTAAGACTTTTTGGCAACAGTCAAGTGTTTTTCACTATGCAAAATAAATTCATAAAATAGTTACTCTAACATGAAGCTTCTGCTTTTGCAAACTAGGGCAATAAAGAGGGCAGGAGAAAAGTGGTTCATGTTGCTTGCTGTCCCCAAAGTATTTATTCCTGTGCTACAGCAGATGAGTGAAGGAGGCTGCTTTTCAGTCAGCACCCAGGATTGGGTGGATGGTGGAAGGATAGCCCAACAGCACAGAATCGTGACTAAGAAAGATAGTGAAAGCTTCCTGGGGTGGAGCAGTGCTTTCAGAGATTGGGAAATACTTAGAAAGCCAATCGGGTACCATGGATTAAGTGATAGGAAAGACTTTAGAAAAATTCTTAGTATATCCTATCCTTGCAGCCAATGTACACTTTTCCCCGAAGATATTTAAGGTCTGCTATAGCAATGAAGTAGACAGGAAGATCTAGGTAGCTACTTCTAACTACTTACCTGTGACTTTATCAGTGATGCAGGAGATAGCTCAGAAGTTTCCATTTTTCCAACTAGATAGAAACCGTTAGGACTTCACAAATTACATTAAGAATTTTTAGAGAACTAGCATGTTAGCTAATCTAAGAGCAGAACTTCTAAGCCCAAGGACTTTTTCATCCTAATGAGGTCTCTATTTGAGAAAGTAGTTTGATTTTTTTTTTTAAATTTCATTTTACTTTAAGAAAATACAGGTCTCTGCACTTGGATAATTTCTCGAACCAAATTGGAAAACATTATAAGAAAGTTGTTTACAAACAGTACGAAGATGAGTCCTTCACCAAACGTGAGGAAAATCCCAATATCAAAGAAGATGGGATTTTGGGTCCTGTTATCAGAGCCCAGGTCAGAGACACACTCAAAGTAAGTAACAGAAATACAGAACCATGGAAGAAATTAAATAGCCAAAAATCATAGAGTACATCATTATTTGTTCCTTTTTTAAAAGAAAAAGATGTTCATCTAATTTAAAACTCAAATGCAGCTTTTAGTTTATATTTAGTATTTGAATTTATTTATAGCCTACTCAATATTACTCAGTAACTGAGACAGTTTATCAAATTACAAAAGAATAAAGCAAATGGTTGGTGTATTAATAATTAGGGTGAAGGATAATATGGGAACACAGAAAATAAAGCCATAGATAAGTGTAATAAAATACAGACCATATGATCCTACAAGGCTGTCTGCAAATTTTGTCTTAAGCTATACAGCCGCCAAAGTGAAAAAGGAAATATGTCAGGGTGAGATTCACAGCATCCATCAAGGAAGCACAGTTTTCCCAGATACTGAGACCTAAGAGGAATTTCTTCCATGCATCCTTCAAAAGAGGGTGCTGTGTGTGCAGTGGAGGGCATCCTTGACAAATGCCTGTAACTCGTATAACAGATAAAAATTTGCATAGTTTTTTAAAATAATGTTTCTCATTGTATCTGAGACCATATCCGTAAACACAATGGAGCAAAATATCCTTTATGTGGTGTACTATGCAAGCTCTCCAGTCATCGGTCTCTCGTGAAGGTAAACTTAGCTATGTATCAAGAGCATGGAGTTGTCCTCAGACAATTCTCCTGAAATATTATGTCACGTCATCAGAATAATAGCTGAAACCGCAGAGAAAAGTGAAGGTTACCATCTCGGCAAGCTCCTAGAATGCAGATAGTCTACAGATTAAGGAGGATTCAAATTCTTTGACAATCAACCAAGTAGAAGATAAGGCTAAGGTCTCTTTTGAAGATTAAAGAGCCTACCTAACTAGGATCCTGTGTGATAATGCCCTGACCAGGCCTGTTCTATTCATTGGGAAATAAACAAAAGGATAAAGCAGCCTTTCTCGTGCTCTTTCCTTCACCCACTTTTGATCCTTTTAGGTGCCTCTTAGCAAATAACATACTTAGGGAATTTAGGATCTGGTGACTTTTGTGTGCCCCTCAAGGACATGGCTTTAAAGTCAGTGTCCTGGGAGATCTGGTGGGCAGGAGAAGGGGCTCATGGTCTGGAGATGAGAAGGACAGATTCAAGTGAGATGTGGTCCAAGCTGAAGGAGGATGGAGGAGCATGGGGACCACATTGGAAGGGTGATACTGTGAGAAATATGTCATTTCTCCTACCTGTCTCTAAGGTCAGATTTCTCTTTCTCATTCTCCACCTTAATGTGCGAGTGAACCTCTGGCAATGTTCCTTCAGGTAATGGGGGATGTATGCTGCTCAATAAAAAAACTGAATTTTCACTGTGTATATTGTGCGTACTACAAACACACACCAACGCACACCACCCACAACACCATGCCAAAGGTTAACTGTGTGCAAAGCTAGCATCCTGGTATTAGTTTTAAACAATCGACCTTAAATCCTAAAAATAAATCTGATGTTCCCTTGCAGATCACATTCAAAAAATATGGCGCCAGCCGTCCTACAGGCATTTTACCCTCATGGAGTGCCTCTCCTCCTATAAAGACTGAAGTCAACTCTTCCTCCACCTCCAGGTTTGAATCTCTCACTCACTGAATCAAACGAGTGAATGCTCAGAAGCTGGCCATATTTTCTACTGTCCTCCCTTCGCCAGTGGTAAATTAGACCGTAGCAGGTACATACATGAAAAGGTACCCTAAAAACCACAGCTAACCTTTCACTTCGGGGATCGCCTGTCTATGTTATAGTACAGAATATGGTACCTTTATTGTGTCCATAGCGCTCTGGTGGAGCAATATTAACGTACATGCACATCTGGGTCAAGAGTTTAATACTAAGAAAGAATTATTTACTTTGCAAATATTAATTGGCTCTGAGAGCTCAATTTTTTCTATTATAATGAAATAAATTTCCAAATGAAAACAATTTGAACATATTTTCTTTCAAGGCCAGTAAAACACCAGACAAGAAGCAGTAAAACCGGGGGAAACGCTATACTTATAAATGGAACATCTAGAGTTGATGAACCCAGCAGAAAATGATGCCAGTGCTTAACGAACCATACTATAGTGACGTGGACATCATGAGGGACATTGCCTCTGGGCTAATAGGACTACTGCTAATTTGTAAGAGCAGATCCCTGGACAAGCGAGGCATACAGGTATTTTGTCCTTGAAGTAACCTTTCAGAAATTCTGGGAGTTTCTTCTGGCTGGAATATATTAGCTAGGTCTCTTTGCTAAATAATGAGGCTTTTGTTTCTCGAGAATGATAACTATCAAGTGTCCCTCTTTAGCACAAGTGTAGTGAGTCTTCAGTATGATAATGTATTTTGTTTTAGTTTCAAATTCCAGGCTGTTGGTGTTAGCTGTGTGATGAGCAATTCACTTAGCCTCTCGTAATTTCTTCCTTCCATCAAAGTGGTAGAACCCCTCCTAAAAATTTTGAAATGTTGTTTTGGGGCTCAGGGAGCTACCACCTGGTAAAAGTGTAAAGCTCTGTACTAATCTTTGTGATTTTTAGAGACCTGCAATAGGGATAAATAGGAGAGAGTCCCTGAAAGCAAGTATATTTGGAGACAGTTTCTAGTGAAGGAGGGCCCAGATAATGGTCCATCTCTGCTGAGATTAAATCATATAGAAGAATGTGAACAAAGATTTTTCTGAGTTTATCTCAATTAAAGAATAGTAGTCTCGTATCATTAACCTAAAATTCCCAAACAATTATGCTAAGCTATAATAAAAGAGGTCTTATCCCAAAGCATACAAAATAAATACATGCCTGGAAAAATCAGAAATGAACACTTGGAAAATCCTGATTTACTGAGCTAGGAAAGGAAACAGATAGGAAGGCATAGGGCTTTCCTATTGCCATCATCTGTTTTAACCTTTGCAACTATTTGGAGCATATTTAGTCTATCATTCATGTTGAAAGGAGCACAATTACAGAGATAAAGTGAACTTCAGTTGCTATGGTGAAACGAGACTTTTTCTACTGGGATATTTTGTAGTCTCTGAATTTTCTGATCTGCTCTGTTTTCTCTTACATAGTAGATTGAGCTCTGACAAGTGCTCTGTACATAATGGGCACTCATATATCATACATGCCTGAATTGTGTGGCTTCGGTGACCCTAAGCACCGTGCCCCTTTGGTTTCTGAGAATTCAGTGTTGCAGGTCATCAGGTAGAACACTAATCGCTGAACACAGCACTTTCACCCTCCAGAGGGCAGCAGACATTGAGCAGCAGGCTGTGTTTGCTGTGTTTGATGAGAACAAAAGCTGGTACATTGAAGACAATATCAACAAGTTTTGTGAAAATCCCGATGAGGTGAAACGCGACGACCCCAAGTTTTATGAATCAAACATCATGAGCAGTAAGTTTGAGCACTGTTTTTGCCCATAAATTTTTCACTCCTGTGGTTGAACTATGACTGTGCGTAGGGACAGAGACTTGGGTTAGAATCCACTTGGTAAAGAGCACCTCTTATCCGCACTTCCAGCCCAAAGACTAAGTGACGAAATCCCTGAGTGACATCGTAGCTACCTTTTTATGCAAGAGATCAAAGGCTTGTTATCCTTAGAAGCATGCCTGGTCTCCCGCAGTGTGTGTGTGTGTGTGTGTGTGTGTGTGTGTGTGTGTGTGTGTGTATGCACACATGTGCGCAGGATGAATGTTCTATATGGTCAGGGCAGAAATAAGGTAAGTAACCCAAAGATGGATTGTCAAATCAAAGCAGAGAAAAATGAGTATGGGGACCCAAGAGTCTCTTGGAAAGGCAATGCCTGAAGAAGTTTGAAGTGAGCAGGAAGAAGTTCAGAACAGAAGGAATTCTCTTAGCCAGGGTTCATGTATTCTCTGCTGTTCTAAAGATCAGTGCCCAAAGCCACTGCCATGGGACTCTGACAACAATTTCACTGAGCTGACTGGAAGCAAACTTCTCCACAATAGCTGAGCTGTTTCTAAGAGTTGAGCATCATTTGATCCCCTTCTCTGACTGGTGATCATACCTAGGAGGGCAATTTCCCCATGCTATGTTCATACAGCTTCAGATGACTGACAACTGAACAATATCAGAACTGAGAGGTGCTGCCACAAATAATTCCAAACAGGGGCTCTCCTCAGCTTTCTTTACATAATTTTATTCTGGCAGTGAATTTATCATAGTTCTGGAGCAATGTTGTCCCATAGAAATTACATATGAGATATATATGTAACTTTAAATTTTCTGGTGGCCACATTAGAAATGAAAGAGAAATGAGTAAGATTAATTTTAATAGTGTGTTTCACTTAATATATCCTAAACATTATCATTTCAAGATGTAATCAATATTAAAAAATTAATGAGTTTTACTTTATTACTAAGTCTTGGAAATCCAACGTATATTTTACATTCACAGCATATCTCAATCCAGACCACCCTCATTTCAAGCACTCAGTAGCCTCTTGTAGCCAATGGCTACCATGTTGGACAGTGTAACTATAGATCATTTAGGAAAACATCTAGAATGAGTTACAAACTAACAACACATTATTTCAGTGATTTAACAAATATTTGTTAAGAATCCACTTAAATACTTATTATGTCCCAGCCACTGTACTAGTACTAGGACTATAGGTAACCCAGGTAAACATGAGCCCTGCCCTCATAGAAATTATACCTTTGCTTTTATTACCATGCTTAGTAAATAAATATATTGCCTAAAGCAGTGCCTCTTTTATAGATGATGAAAATATATGAACTAGAAACTTGAATGAAAACCGTAGATTATAAGGGTGATAAGAGGGGACAGTGAAAATTACACAATGTACTAAATAGGCTTTATTTTTAGGGACATTATTTCTTACCCAATGACCAATGTATCAGGAAGATGAATTTCTTATATTATGCTTTTCCTTCAGGTGGAATTATTAGAATATCTTTACAGGCAGAATGTGGAGCACGGAATATTTAATATATATTTGATAAATGAATGAATAAATCAATGCAGATGGGAGGCTTTAGATTTTTCTCAGTATTTCTCACTTGACTAACTTAGGAGAATAAGATCCCATTTGAGAATTCTGTGTTTGACCTTTAGTGACATTAGACCTGGTAAAGCTGATTATCTTGGATAATCACTGCTTTGACACTACCAAATCAACACGGGGCATTGATCGTAGGTATAGACACGTGCCCTTCTGTTGGCATAGGCCTGGCATTTTAACATATTTCCCTCTTGCAGCCATCAATGGCTACGTGCCTGAGAGCATACCCACTCTAGGATTCTGCTTTGACGACACTGTCCAGTGGCACTTCTGCAGTGTGGGGACCCAGGATGACATTTTGACCATTCACTTCACTGGGCACTCATTCATCTATGAAAAGAGGCATGAGGACACCTTGACCCTCTTCCCTATGCGTGGAGAATCTGTGACTGTGACAATGGATAATGTTGGTGAGTAAGAGTCTGGACACTTAGAGAAGAAGCTGGCTTTGAACCTCTGGTCTAGAGGATCTGCTCCAGCTCTCCAGACTACCCTGGCTCCTGTGTTTATCTCCCTGATCCCCTGAAAGCTTTCCTTTCAATGCTTTTCATGATTTCTAACTGGGAAATTAAAGACTTAAATGGGTCCAGTCCTTTAATATGGGTTCCATTTATCTTTCTCTAGGCAAAGTAGGAAGACATACAACAGTGGAAAGATAAGGCGTAACTTTGAGGAAGAAACATAAATATTTCAGCCACAAAGGAACATTTCGTTTATCGAAATGCCCTTTTCAGTTTTTTAAGGCCACCCCACCCCAGGGGTAGCAATCACCAGATGCATTCATTGCCTTAGAGGTCGCCTCAGAGACAGCTTTGGAGTTTGTCAGACTTAAGTTCAAATCCTGCTTTGCCACTTAATCACTGTGTAACCTTGCACAAGTTACTTGGCCTCACTGAGCAAGTTATTTAGTATTTGAAATCTAAAAAAACAGTATGGTAACACATTACAGAGTTTCTTTCACCATTAAAATTGTATAATAATATGTGCCAAGTACCTAGCACTCATTAGACACTTAGCAAGAAGTAACTACTGGAAACTTCCCAAGAACTGTCAGTGTGCCAGCAATTCATACCATTCAAAGAGATTCAAAATTGCCCCAGGACCACCTGAATTCCTTATTCCTTAGAAATATCTAAATGTCTCTTACTTATGGAGGTAGACCTCATCATTATCTCCCCAAATCTAATTCTCAAACAAGATGTGCCATTTAACAAGATGTTTATGATATTCAAAGTTTGTTTTATTCTTGCTTCACCGCTTGCTTAATATATTCTAAAATAGTGACTCTTAAACTATTTGTCCTGAAAGACTTTTTTTCCTCCCTAATCTCCACTAACCATACTTTTGTTCTATATTCTTTTTTTTTTTTTTTTTTTTTGAGACAGAGTCTTGCCTTGTTGCCCAGGCTAGAGTGAGTGCCATGGCATCAGCCTAGCTCACAGCAACCTCAAACTCCTGGGCTCAAGTGATCCTACTGCCTCAGCCTCCCCAGTAGCTGGGACTACAGGCATGTGCCACCATGCTCGGCTGATTTTTTCTATGTATATTAGTTGGCCAATTAATTTCTTTCTATTTATAGTAGAGATGTAGTCTCGCTCTTGCTCAGGCTGGTTTCGAACTCCTGACCTTGAGCAATCCACCCACTTTGGCCTCCTAGAGTGCTAAGATTACAGGAGTGAGCCACTGCGCCTGGCCTATATTCTATCAAATGAGGTAAATGCACTTATCATGTGCTTAGAAGTCACAGCAATGTCAAATTGCTTTTTTTCAAAAAATAATTTCCTCAATACTTTAGTCTTGGTTTCTCTCCTTATGTCATTGTGAATCAGTAATCAATAGCTCAGACTAGCAGTGGTCCACAGACCACACTTGAGTATTCTTGACTACAGTTCATTATAAATTACATCTGGCATTTGTACAGATTTTACTCCTGCACAGCAGATTCTCATGTTTTTATATCTTTTCCCAGACTTTCAATTGGCTCTTCTGTCTCTCTTCTGTAGGAACATGGATGTTAACTACCATGAATTCTAGTCCAAGAAGCAAAAACCTCAGGCTGAGATTCAGGGATGTTAAATGTATCCTAGATGATGATGAAGACTCATATGAGATTTATGAACCTCCATCCTCTACAGCCATGGCTACACGGAAAATACACGATTTTCCAGAAAGTAACGATGATGAGAATGATACTGATGACTATTACCAGTATATACTGGCTTCAGAACTAGGAATTAGGTCACTCAGAAATTCATCATTGAATCAGGAGGAAGATAAGTTCAATCTTACTGCCCTAGCTATGGAGAACAGCTCCGAATTCATTTCCTCAAGTACAGATACAACTGTTGGTTCAAATTCTTCCCCCCCAAGGAATGTTAGCAGTCTCATTGTCAATAACCTCACAGGACCTCAGAAAACCCTTCCTCACCCAGGAGCCACCACAGCTGGTCACCCACTGGAACACTTCAATGGCTTAGACGAGAACTCAGTTCTCAACTCTTCCATGGCAGAACATTCCAGTCCATATTCTGAAGACCCCCGTGAGGATGCTCCACAGTCAGATGTCACAGGGATAAGCCTACTTCCACATGGGGCAGGAGGATTCAGACGTAAAGAACATGCTAAACATAAGGGACGCAAGGCAGGAAGAGACCAAGCAGCAAAGCACAGGTTCTCTCAGATGAAATTACTAGCACATAAAATTGGGAGACATTTCAGCCAAGACAATGGTTCTCCTTCTGGGATGGGGCCCTGGGAGGACCTCCCTAGTGATCTGCTACTCTTAAAAGAAAAGAATCCATCTAAGATTTTGAATGGGAAATGGCATTTGGCTTCTGAGAAAGGTAATTATGAAATAATCCAAGATACTGAGGAAGACATGGCTATTAATAAGCCACTGACCGGCCCTCAGAATGACTCAAGTACTTGGGGTTCAGAAAGCACCCCCCTTATAAACAAGCCTGGGAATCAGAGTAGCCTCCCCAAATTCTCTAGAGTTAAACATAAATATCTACATGTAAGACAGGATGGAAGAAATAGTGGATTGAGGAAAAGCCCATTTCTCATTAGGACACGAAAAAAGAAAAAGGCAGAGAAGCTTGGATACTATGTTCCTCTGTCTCCCAGGGGCTTTCACCCTCTCAGAGGTGAGGCCTCTGCCACATTTTCAGACCAAACATTGAATCATTCATTGTTACTCCGTAAGTCCAATGAAACATCCCTTCCTACAGACCTCAATCAGACACTGCCCTCTATGAATATTGACCTGATGGCCTCACTTCCTGACCATAATCAGAATCCCCCAAATGACACCAGTGAGACAAGCTCACCTCCAGATCTTTATCAGACAGTGCCCCCAGAAGAACACTATCAAACTTCCCCTATGCAAGACCCTGATCAAACGCACTCTACTACAGACCCCAGTCACAGGTCCTCTCCTCCAGAGCTCAGCTGGATGCCCAACTATGATCTAAATCACCAGTCCTTCCCTGCTGACATTGGTCAACTGTCCCCTTACTTGGAACATGAAGTCTGGAAGACAACCATCTCTCCAGACCTCAGCCAATTGTCCCCTTCCCCAGACCTGGCTACCATCTCTCCAGACCCCAGCCAATCATCTCTCTCCCCAGACCTGGGTACCATCTCTCCAGACTTCAGCCAATGGTCCCTCTCCCCAGACCTAGGTACCATCTCTCCAGACCTCAGCCAATCATCTTTCCTCCCCAGACCTGGGGTACCATCTCTCCAGACCTCAGCCAGTCATCCTTCTCCCCAGACCTGGGTACCATCTCTCCAGACCTCAGCCAGTCATCCTCTTCCCCAGACCTGGTACCATCTCTCCAGACCTCAGCCAATCATCCCTTCTCCCAGACCTGGGTACCATCTCTCCAGACCTCAGCCAATCATCCTTCTCCAGACCTGGCTACCATCTCTCCAGACCTCAAGCCATTCATCCTTCTCCCCAGACCTGGGTACATCTCTCCAGACCTCAGCCAATCTACCCTCTCCCCAGACCTGGCTTACCATCTCTCCAGACCTCAGCCAATCGTCTCTCTCCCCAGACCTGGCTACCATCTCTCCAGACCTCAGCCAATCGTTCCTCTCCCCAGACCTGGCTACCATCTCTCCAGACCTCAGCCAATCATCTCTCTCCCCAGACCTGGCTACCATCTCTCCAGACCTCAGCCAATCGTCCCTCTCCGCAGACCTGGGTATCATCTCTCCAGACCTCAGCCAATCATCCCTCTCCGCAGACCTGGGTATCATCTCTCCAGACCTCAGCCAATCGTCCCTCTCCCCAGACCTGGGTACCATCTCTCCAGATCTCAGCCAATCATCCCTCTCCCCAGCCCTTGATCAGATGACACTCTCTACAGAACTCACTCAGACAAGCCTTTCCCTAGGCATCAGTCAGATGCCCCTTTCTCCAGACCTCAGCCACACAACGCTTTCCCCAGATCTCAGTCAGACAACCCCCTCCCCAGTCCTTGGTCAAATGTCCCTATCCCCAGACCTCAGCCAGATGACCCTTTCTCCAGACCCCAGTGAAACAAATGTTTCTCCAGACTTCGATCAGATACCCCTTTCTTCAGCCCTCGGCCGGGTGGCTCTCTCTCCAGATATCAGTCAGACAACCCTTCCTCCTGATCTCAGTCAGACATCACCTCCTCCAGATCTTGATCACACATTCTACCCTTCTGAATCTAGTCAGTCATTACCTCTTCCAGAACTTAGTGAGACTTTTCCTTATTCAGACCCTGGTCAGATGCCATCTCCCACACTAAATGACACTTTCATATCAAAGGAATTTAATCCACTGATTGTAGTAGGCCTCAGCAGAGACAATGGAGATTACATTGAAATTATTCCAAGGCTGGAGGACCAGGGCAGTGATGAAGACTATGTTGAAGTTGATTATGTGGCCTATAGTGATCCCTACCAAACTGATGTTAGGACAGACATCAACTCTTCCAGAAATCCCGACAACATCGCAGCATGGTACCTCCGCAGCAACAATGGAAACAGAAGAAATTATTATATTGCTGCAGAAGAAATATCCTGGGATTATTCAAAATTTGCACAAAGGTTTGGCTAGTTTTTTCCTTTTATAGTCTCATTTTTCTACTACTGCTGAAAAAAGTAACTGCAACAATCTAGGGAGATAATTCTGGGCAAATTATCCAAGTATAGTTTGATTCTTCTATTGAGACTTAGCCTATACTATTTCCTCTGTGAATTCCAAGACTGGCTTCTCTAGATGATACCCAGACAATGTAACAACAGTCACTGTAAGAAGTCTATGCTATTCTGTAGTTGCCTTTTCCTAGGTCCTCTTCTCTTACTACACATGTTCCTACCCCCCCACTCTTGCTTCAATGCAGAACTCAATCTATCCATAGCTATATACTAATCAATATGATTTAATTGAAGTTGGCATCAAATCCAAGTTTGTTATGTAAAAGTCTCCTTTTGTATTTGCTTGTTTACATTAGAGTTTCTAAGGGATCCATATACTTTGTTTTTAGATCATTTTCAATTCAATTTTGCTTAGGAGTAGAAAGTCATGTTGCAGAGGGGTAAAAACCTACCTCACAGGTATAATGAACACTATTTGGGTGATGGGCACATGTATAGCCTTGACTAAAGCATTATAAAAGCTATCCATGTAACCAAAACATTTGTACCCCCTTAATATTTTGAATTTTTTTAAAAGGACAGTCATGCTGGGCTGGGCTCTTTATTCTGGGATGAAGATACAGAGAGAGAAGGAAAGGAGCAAGGCTTAATCAAGTACAGATTGTCAGGGCTCCAGCATGGTTACTATGCATCAACTGCCTAGACATAGCCCACCACTTTTACAAAAAAGCTGTTACACTAATCAATTAAAAACCAAAGTATAATTAAAGTAGATGAACACAGTGTATGGTGTGAATTATACAAATTAGTTCATTAATTTGATGCCTGACATTTCCAAATTAGAACTCTGTTTGAAATACTCTCCCATGACTTCCAATTTTAAGGTAACACTCACTACTATGTGAGAATAACTAGTTATCTGAGGATTTCTAAGCAAGGCCCAGAGGGGATAGGATTTAGTGTCTGTCCAGAGTGGAAAGGGATGGAACCAGTTTCTTCAAAGTCTTGTGTCCCATTCCAGCCCTACAACTCAGTTTTATGGCAGTCAAAGCTGCTTTGCCCATTCCCATGTGCTCTGTGAGATTGTATGCTATGCTCAGAGTCTAGAAAGATGGGGTTAGTAGGGGAGAAAGACTGGAAGAAAGGCAGAGTGCAGTTCTCTGTTGATGGCTCATAGTATATAATAAATATTATGGGTTAGCTGGAGGAGAGTTTGGCTTGTTTCCATAGACTTGGGAAATTTGAGAGTCAGTGGGAGAATTTGACGTGCTTTGGCCCCAGACTGAGCTGATGAGCTACATGGGGAAAGATGTGCCTTATTTATGTATATTCTTAATTTTTTTTTACTTTGAGATAAATATAGATTCACATATAATTTAGAGAGATAATACAGAGAGATTCTTGTTTCATTTACCTAGCTTCCCCCAGTGGTAACATCATGCAAATCTGTAGTCCTGTATCACAACCAGTACATTGATATTGATACTGTCAAGATACGAAACATTTCCATCACCAGGAAAATCCCTCTTGTTGTCTTTTTATAGTCACATCTGCCATCCCGCCATCATACCACTTCCTTATCCCTTGGCAACCACTAATGGGACCTCCATTTCTGTGATTTTGTCATTTTAAGAATATTACATAAATGGAATCACGCAACATGCAACCTTTGGGGATTGGCTTTTTTTTTTCCACTCAGCTTAATTCTCTAGAGATTCATCCAGGTTATTTCATGTATCAATAGTCCATTCACTTTATTGTTTAGTATTCCATAGTATGATTGTACCATAGCTTTTATTGTTGTTTTGTATATTTTTATGGTATAAATGATGTTTTAATATATATAGATTGTGAAATGACTAAATCAAGTTAATTAACATGAATTACCCCACATACTTTTTTTTTGTAGTGAGAAACTTTAAAATTTACTCTCGTAGCAATTTTCCAGAATACAATACTTTATTATTAACTATAATCACTGTATTATCCAATAGATCTCCTGAATCTATCCTTTCTAACTGAAATTTTGCATCTTTTGACCAACATCCTCCCAATTTCCCTCCCCTGAACTCCCTGTTGACCATATTCTACTTCTGTTTCAATGAGTTCAATGTTTTTAGATTTCACACATAAATGAGATCATGTGATACTTGTCTTTCTGTGCCTGGCTTATCTCATTTAACACAAGGTCCTCCCGGTTTATCCATTTTGTTGCAAATGACATTTCTTCTTTTTATTTTTTCAAGGCTGAATAGTATTTCACTGTGTATATGTACCACATTTTCTTTATCCATTCATTTGTTGATAGATACTTATGTTGATTCCACATCTTGGCTATTGTTAATAATGCAGCAATAAACATGGGAGTTCAATATCACTTCAACATACTGATTTCATTTCCTTTGGATATATACCCAAGAGTGAGATTGCTGGCTTATATGGTAGTTCCATTTTAACGTTTTAAGAAATTTCCATATTGTTTTCCCTAATGGCTGTACTAATTTACATCCCAATGACAGTATACAAGGTTTCCCTTTTCTTTAGATACTTCCATGACTTATCTCTTGTCTAACATGTGTGAGGTGATCTCTCATTATGATTTTAATTTGTGTTTCTCTGATTATTAGTAATGTTGAGTGTTTTTTATATACCTTTTGGCCATTTTTATGTCTTCTTTTGAGAAAGTGTATTCCAGTCCTTTGCCCTTTTTTTAATTGGGTTATTTGGGTTTTTTTGCTATTGAGTTGAGTTCTTTATATTTTTTTATATAAAGCCCTTATCAAATATATGGTTTTATAATATTTTCTCCTATGCTATAAGTCTCTTCTTTATTAATTGTTTCCTTTGCTGTGCATAAACTTTTTAGTTTGACACAACCCCATTTGTATGCTTTTGCTTTTGTTACCTGTGCTTTTGGGGTCATATCCAAAAATATCTTTGCCCGGTCCAGTGTTAAGAAGCTTGGGAATAATGTCTTTAGCAAAAGCAAATGTGAGGAGAGTAGCTACTTTCAGGGTGCAAAGCACTCATCCATCCAGTGTCCTTCACAATTGTGACCTTCTAATTCATCTGAGCATCTCCTGATATCCTCAGGCTGTGGCACTATTCTGTTGCATGGCTTTGTCTGTCTTTGATGTTAAAATTTGCTATGTTAATATATTATTATATTTATTCATTCATTTATGTGTTTGACAAAAATTGAGTGTTTACTATGTGCCAGATAATATGCCAAGCACTGAGGAAAGTATTATGAACAAACTAGGCACAATAGCTGACCTCATAGGACTTATAACCCAGTGGCAGAGTCAGATATTAATAATCTCACAAATAAATTATATTCAATTTACTATATATACTATAGAAATACTATAAGAATTTACTATATATACTACTACTATAGAAATATAAGGAATGACATAGAGAAACTTGACCTAGTCTAAAGGATCATAGGAAGACATATGTACGAAATGATATTTGAGCTGGGAGTTAAAAGATATTTACTGGCTTGAATATTTTTCCCTTATATATTCATTTTTGCATCAAGTATTTATTAAAGACCTTCTCTAGATACTATTAGGTCATTAAATATGAAATTTCTGATTTTGAATCACAAGTTTAGTTTGTTATATCTCAAAACAGGAAGCTGTACAATTAATCAAAGTATGCACCTAAACTGTCGGCACAGTTTTGCCATCTTAATGGTAGCTTGTTTATGCCAGCAGCAAAGAAGCCTGTACAGTGAGTGGCGATGAATTCACGAAAGCTATTTTCCACAGCTTATTGAGAATTGAATATTTTTCCTTGCAAGAAGTGGTCCAAAGCTTGGAAGACGTGGTAGTCAGTTGGTGCAAGGCTGGTGAATATGGTGGATGCCAGAGAGTTTTCAAGTCCAGCATCTGTAATTTGAGCAGTGTTGGATTTCGTAGCATGTGGTCTTACAAGAGGATTGGCTTGTTCTCTATTGACCAGTCTTGGCTGCTTAATCACAAGCATCCTCATCACTTCATCCAATTGGTTGTAGTAGACATCCACTGTGATCAACTGACCAGGTTTCATGAAGCTGTAGTGGATAATACCAGCACCGGACCACCAATCCAACACCAGTAGCTTTTTTTGATGACTATTTGGATTTGGACTGTGTTTCGGCACTTCATCTTTATCCAAGCATTGTGCTGAATGTTTGCGATGGTCAAAAAGAATCCATTTTTCATCACACATAATAATAAATGCAGAAATTGTTTGCCTTTATGTCATGACAGCAAAGGAAAGCAGGCTTCTCTTCTAATGCTCGTTTAATTCATGCAGAACCCATCTAGCCAGCCTCTTCACCTTGCAGATTTGTTTCAAATGGTCCAATATTGTTGGAATAGGAACGTCAAACCCTGCTGCTAATTCATGTGTAGGTTGAGATAGATTTGCTTCCACTTTCAGCTCATTGTTATCTACTTTGGTCTCAGGTCACGATGTGGCTCATTTTCAAGATTAAAATCACCAGAATGGAACTTCTCAAACCATCAACATACTGTGCGTTCATTAACCACAGCCTTCCCAAACACTTTGTTGATATTTGGGGCTGTCTGTGCTGCATTGGTTCCACAACAGAACTCATATTAGAAAACAACATGAATTTTGTACTTATCCACGGTTTCACAAAAATTGCTCTAAACATTTTTGAAAGATAATCACATGCCAAAAACATGCATTTGAAAGACTGAGGATGTAACCTCACAATAAAAATAAAACAAGTGTCAAAGTGAAATGTCAGATATATCAACTGTCAAACTTAGTACGTAAGGAAATCAGACATTTCATACTTAATAGCCTAATAACCTATATATTTAGAAACAGATACAATTTTCTAAATTTTTTTAACAGTCTTTAATTTCTTCTTTTAAACAAATGCTATTGTTGTCATTTCAGTGAAATGGATAATGAAGACATTGATGATATTCCAGAGGGCACCATATACAAGAAAGTAGTTTTTCGAAAGTACCTTGATAGCACTTTTACCAAACGTGATCCTCGGGGGGAGTATGAGGAGCATCTTGGCATTCTGGGTCCTGTTATTAGAGCCGAAGTGGATGATGTTATCCAAGTAAGTCATCTTTGGGGAATACTGTTAAGATCATCAGAGGAATTTTCACAAGCACCAGAAGGTTGTAAAGATGAAGGTGGCAAGAGAACTATGGGGGGTTTATTTATTTTCCAGGACTAACAAATAATTACATTTCTTTTCAAAGACTCCTTGCCAAGCAATTTGACACTTTTCAAGACAAAGAAAAGTGGTCTCATGATTTTTTAAAAATGCTTAAAACTGTATAATATTGGGCAAATCACACTGTTGTTTTTATCTAAAACTAACATTACTATGTAAAGTTAACACAGAAAATTAATGTAATCAGGAGCACTTCAATGGAGTTTCCTAATAGTGATGGTGTTGGTGCTAGTAGTGGGGGTAGTAATAGCAATTTAGAAGTATCTCTTGGTGTTTTCTTAAAAGAAAGTGAAGTTAAATAAAATTAGTAAGGGAAGTAAAAATGTGTTCATGTCATCCGAAAGTGACAGGTTTACTAAGTGTTCTCCCAGTCCTGGTCATTTCTTTCAAAATCCTGTGTCCGTCCAGTTTCAGACCTACAGCTGGCTTTTATAAGTAAGTTATTTCCCCATCCTTTCTAACTTCTCACTTGCAAAAAAAAAAAAAAAAAGGAAAGCACTTGAATCTAAAGTAAAGTATTCTAGATCCAAACACATACTCTATTATACCTCTTTTAAGCATCCACCACATTTTCAGGGAACATTTACTCTTTTTAAAAAGGCAAATAGGTGCATAGGGATATGAGAATCTTAATTATTCTAAATGTTCCGTGAAGATATCGGAGACAATAATCTTCTCTCTTATGATTAGGGAGTCTTTAATCACTGGAAGTTATATTAATAGAAGAGAAGACGAGGAGCTTCACGGGTCTGCCTCTCCTCCTGTCCCCGTGCGGCATTGAAGGTCCTCCACCCTCTGGTCCCCACCTGCTCCTTTTCCGGCTTCATTTCTCACCGGGTTCCACCCACCCCTGCATTCCACAGCCCAGCCATACCCAGATCCTTGCTGTCCCCCAAACTCTTCCTTTACACCCCTCCTTTCAGGCATGTTTTTGCCCTTCTGGGAGCTTGAAATGTCTTTCTCCTGCTGCTGAGCTGTTGTTCATTCTAAAAGGACCAATTCCATTTCCCCTAAGAACTTTCCTTAATTCTTCCAACCTCTCCTAAACATTCCATGAAATTGCTCCTCTAGGGCATTCTCATCTCCACCCTTTCTTACTTTGTGTGTCACACCTGTTGTCTCTGGATTTGTAGCTGGATTTATATGTATACGTCTCTCTTCGCCAGTAGCTTGAAAGCTTTTTTTTTTTCTGAGCAAGAACCAAGCCTCTTTCATCTTCAAATCTCCAGCACCCATCTCTGTCATTTCATTTGCAGCTTCGAGCCTAGGGACAAACATGCTGTGGTGTTTCTGAGTTAAACTACTCGGGCCTGATCCCACAGGATGGTTGTGAAAATTAAATAAAATAACATGCACGGGTTACTTTGCAATTGTCAGCACTCAATAAATCTCAGCTCTGATTTCACAACCATCCACTTTGGCCTATAACGCTGACAGTTTGGGGTTTAAGATCTTTGTTAAGCTTGAATAAATCTGTGGATCATTCCTTTTCCTAGGTTCGTTTTAAAAATTTAGCTTCCAGACCATATTCTCTTCACGCTCATGGGCTTTCCTATGACAAATCATCAGAGGGAAAGGCTTATGAAGACGACTCTCCTGAATGGTTTAAGAAAGACAATGCTATTCCGCCAAACAGCAGTTACACATACGTGTGGCATGCCACCGATCGATCAGGGCCGGAAAGCCCTGGCTCCGCCTGCCGGGCTTGGGCCTACTACTCAGCTGTGGACCCGGTAAGGACTTCCATCCACAGTGTTTGTCATTGCCCTGACCTTATAACCTGAGCCCAGCAAATGGAAGGGTTGGGGTTATTTCCTGTTAAATATCCGTCTTGCTTTTCATGAGGAATGTGTGAGGGTTGTGGACAACAGTCTGCAGTTACCATAACCAGGGACTCTCCATGCAGCTCTTCAGATGACAGAGAGAGAGAGAGACATTTATTCAGTGGAGAAGCAGGAGGATCCCTTAAATGGTTGTCCCCAAGTTAGAGTCCCTACATTTATTGAGGAAGACATTTATTTGTAATTTTCTTTCTTTATGAAAGAATTGCAAAGTCAAGACTCCTTTGTCCATCATTCTACAATGTATATATACTTCAATATGTTGTGAATATATACAGTAAAATACATACAATTTTATATGTCAATTTAAAAAAAAAAATTCTTCATTTAAGTCATAGTAGAAAGATCACAGACTTAGATCTAAAGTTCTACTCTGTCACTTATTGCATGACCCTAGAAAAATCACTTGACCTTTCTCAGCCTTGGTTTCCAAAGCTATAAATGAGAAATAGTGCATGGCATGTAGTAAGCACTTGGTAAATATTTGTTCAATGAATGAGTTTATATTTATCTTATAAAATACTTATCAGAATTAAATGAGATACTATACACAAAGCATTTAATATAGTAGATGCTCAATAAATAGTCTCCATTATACTATCAATATTACCATCATCATTATTGTGATAAAAAATCAGTAGGAGGAAGGGAATATGAATGCAATAGAATTAGATGGTAAATATCCAGGCTTATTAATCTATTCCCTTATAACATTCAAATTCAGAGCTTCTTAGAAAGTTTCCTTTTCTGTCTAATCAGTGATTGTCCGAGAGCAAAGAAAATCCTGAGAAAGGGAGAATACATGCAATTTGTTCTTCCTGCCTTCCAGGAAAAAGATATCCACTCGGGCTTGATAGGGCCCCTTCTGATCTGCCAAAAAGGAACACTTCATAAGGAGAGCAACATGCCAGTGGACATGAGAGAATTTGTCTTGCTTTTTATGGTCTTTGATGAAAAGAAGAGCTGGTACTATGAAAAGAAGTCCAAAGGGTCTTGGAGACTCCCATCCTCAGAAGTAAAAAACTCCCATGAGTTTCATGGTATTTTCCTCTGACTTTGATCTAATTTCTGAACTAAATCACACTGGGTCACAGTGATTCCTGCCCTTAGATCTTCACAAGATTAGACATGAGATGCTTCTGAGGAACCAGGGGCTACAATTAAAACCAGCTCCCTAACATGTAAGAGGGCTGACATGAGCTGGCAGGTGACACTGCAGGTGAAGGAGAGTAGAGAGAGTCTGAAAGGTAGCACACAGTGGCCACTGAAACACAAGCCAGCAAACAAAAGAAGCCAGTGTGCCTCAGGTGGTAACAGATATTGAAAAGGAATTAACATTGTTCTGAAGTTTTAAAAGTTAATAAACCTGTTTCTTGATCTCTAAAGGAGCAGTGTTTATATAGAGGAAATGATCACCCATGTGTCTTTTCTAAAATAAGGATGAGTCTAACAGTTCTAGCTCTTAGTAGCTACCAGGTGGCTCCAAAGCACATCAGAACAAAATGGGATAGGAAACTAGGGAGCCAGGCAGCGGCAGTATAGTGGCAAGAGAGCGTTTGGGTGGTCACACTGGGAAAAGTATGCCTACTCAGAAATCCATTCCAGATGTGGCCTGTAAATTGGAAACTGAAACAGAAACCAAGATGAGGGGTTACCAGCTGGTGTTATCAGTATGTAGATAGGTGTTCCTATACCTGATATAATTTTAAGGGTGCCCAAATGATCTCAACTCTTCCCCTTCCAAAAATTCACTTTTCTGGTTCCTGAAATTCCACAGCAGGATTTAATTTAAGAAGGAATAAAAAAAAAACTTCTCTCACTTTAGTTCCAGTTAAATGCTTGGTAGCACTAAGCTTTATCATTAAAATTTTGTGTTACATTTCTTAAATGATCAAGTATATCAGGTACCTTTTTAAAAAGCCCACATATTTCACTAAGGCGAGAGTGGTAAAACCCGGGGATCCTAGACATGTAGGCTGGGAAGGGGGCAGAGGAGCTATCATATCAACAAGAGAATAAATGTGACTCACTACGGTTGGTAAGTACACCAAAGATAAACTCCAACGTCCTAATTTTGCCTGGAACAATCTCTGAATGGAGGAGGTCTTAGGGTCATGCGCTGCACATCTCTTTCCTTACTCTAACCGCTGCAGTTTGCTCTGTCTGCCTATATTAGTTCTTATTTTTTTGTAGTGAAGGAAAATTCAGACCATCAATGGGAACAATAAATGGATAAAGCACAGAGCAGAAGTAAAATCTGGGGAAAAGAGTGATAAATGACCTAGGAAGGGAGCTCGCCTGCACCTCTGCTGTAGGCTGGTGGGAGTGACATGAGAAGGGCTGGTGGTTCTGCTTCAGCCTCTCACTGATAGGACATCTAGTAGGGCCCGTCTATGCCTGGGTGGGTCTGGGAATGTGGAGAAATGAGGAAGACTGGCAGTGAGTGGGCTGCCCCATGTTTCCTTACCAGCCAACCTGGTGTTTACAGGTTTCTAACTGTATCTCTCTATCCTTTCAGCCATCAATGGGATGATCTACAACTTGCCTGGCCTGAGAATGTACGAGCAAGAGTGGGTGAGGTTCCACCTGCTGAATATGGGCGGCTCCCAAGACATTCACGTGGTTCACTTCCATGGGCAGACCTTGCTGGAAAATGGCCATCAACAGCACCAGTTAGGGGTCTGGCCCCTTCTGCCTGGTAAATAGTGGGTGATGGAAAGAGGTCACTGCTAAGAAATTCCAGGAGAAGGCAATCTCAGCTTCTGTAACTCCCCCTCATTCCTTCCTCGTGTGGGATCAGAACACAAAGTTCTAGCACAAAGGCTAGGCAAAGCTATATGCCAAAACTGTATACAGAGTACAAAAACATCACCTAACGTGTACACTGTCTGCAGTACCACACAGGATAAATGCGTGGCCCAACTTGGTTCTATAGAGATGCTATGTTGTATGCAGGTTCTCCCAAGCCACTATTTGTCACAAAGATCAGATCTCAGCAGGTGACACAATGAATCTCACAGGTCTGAGGCAGCTAAAGTTATCTCCTTCAGGAGCAAGACAGAAACTTACTAAGGTTTCCAAATTCTTGAATTCTACTCCTGGCTCTGTCACCCTAATAATATCTTTGAGCAAGTGACCGCAGGAATCATAATCTTGAACTGACTCATAAGGCTGTTTGAAGAGGAAAGAAAAAACATTTTTTAAATGATACAAAAAGCTTTGTATAAAAGCTAAATAACAACAAAGGTATTTAGAGCTTTTCATGTGCAAAATGATAAGGATAGATTTAAACAAACCACGATCATCAGAAAAGATGTTTATGTGCCAATGAGTTGTTTGTAGATGTACCTGCTCATGTAATAGGTATGTGAGTGCCAGGTGCCAGATTCTCAAGCTTCAGTGGGCATCATAAAAACCTAGGAAGCAGGTGCAAATGCAGATGCAAAAGAAGAAATTTTGTTCTCAGAGACTTTCATGTATATCTTGGGCAGAATTCCCAGGAGTCTGCATTTTTTAACAAGTAGCCTCCCTTCCACAAACACTGCCTGATCATCTAGCAAAGGCCACCCATTGACATGACTTTGGGTGGGGAAGTCGCCCTGTGGAACTGCCTTACGTATAGGCACAGAAGTCCAAACAGGCCTGGTTTGGTTAAAAAGAAGGGTGGAAGAGGGTTCTTGTTGGTTTTCGCATGCCAGTGACTCACTAATACATCTAGAGAGACCCCACACTATTAAGATCAGAGAGAGAGGGGATTAGGGCAACCTTACACCTTATCTTTTTACCAAGTATTAGCAGATCAGCTGTCCTTCCCAGGAGCCAGCAAGATAAACTGAGAAGCTGGGACTGGCTGTTCCTGTTTAAATCTCCAAACCGAAATATCTGCATTGGAGAGAGGAAAACTGGAGATCTTTTTTCAGTGTGTTGAAGGGGATGACCATCATCTATTAATTTTCACCCACAATCTTAGAAAAGGTCACAAATTATAGTTAACAGAATTTAAGTATTAACTGGCAAGGTGTAATAATAAATACCAGAATGGATAATCAGAGGTTTTAGAAATCTCATTCTTTCAGTGATTTTCTGAAACAGTCTATGCAAATCTCTATCCAAATCTATAAGCTTTACAGAAAAGTCAAAACCATAGAGGAAGAATGTTTTATCTTGATTTTCTCATATTAAAAAAAAGAGAAAAAAGCAAAATGAAGAGACAGAAAGGAAACATGTACCAGAGGTTAGAGACCCAATGATGAATCATTCAAGATCACTTTGATACTTAGGACTGTGAAGCTGTACTATGTATGAGTTAACTTGTAACATATTTAGATAAGTGAAAGTTTCTTTCTAGTGAGGTGTGGTAGTGAGTTTTTTTAAATCCTAGTGTGACTGATTTTTAGTAATCCGTGTATATATTGCTGCTGTTGTTTTGTTTTTATCTGTTATACCTGTAGTCTTATCTAAAGAGAAATGGATACTAACTCTTAAATTCTGTTGTAAAACCTCTTGCGAAGCAGGGATTTTAAGATTCTTGGAGAGCTATTAGCCACAATGTTAACTTGTTACACTTTGGGTGTGTAATGTCTTTAACTCTCTATTTCAGGTGCATTTAAAACTCTTGAAATGAAGCCATCAAAACCCGGCTGGTGGCTCCTAAACACAGAGGTTGGAGAAAACCAGAGAGCAGGGATGCAAACGCCATTTCTTGTCATAGACAAAGGTATCACTCAATAGTCATGTGATTTATTTTTTTTTTTTTTGAGCAGGAGAGTGCCTATTACTAGAATATTACCAATTTTTAGATTGCAAACATTCAACTCTGAGAACTCTGATGTGACAAAGGCATAATTTGTAGCCATAGTTGCTTTTATCCTGGCCCCTGGTCTGATTGTACTAAAAACACATTAGGCAGATCAAAGACATTCCTCTTAATTGGGAAACCAATGTAGAGCATTCTTAATGATTTACCATCCCTGGGAAAGTGCATGTAAAAAATTTTACAGGTTCCTAGGGTAGAGAAGGGAAATGTAACAAGAATTTGACAATGACTGAGAGAGTCAATAAACTTGGCATTTCAGTATTCAAGTATTCAAGAAACAACATTTCCAACCATTACTCTTTTTTTTTCTTTTTAAAGATATGGGGTCTCTATCTGCTGCCCAGGCTGGAGTGCAGTGGTCCAATCATAGGTCACTGTAACCTCAAACTCCTGGGCTCAAGAGATCCTCCTGCCTCAGCCTCCTAAGTAGCTGCGACTACAGGAGTGAGCCACCATGCTTGGCTAACTTTTTTATTTTTTGTAGAGACAGGATCTCACTATGTTCCCAGACTGGTCTTGAACTCCTGGCCTCAAGTGATCCTCCCACCTCAGCCTCCCAAATTGTGAAATTACAGGTGTGAGCCACCTTGCCCAGCCCATCTATCCATTCTTTAAGTCTTTACTAAGCACCTATTGAGTATCAAGCACTGTGCCCAACATCCGGGTAGCACAGAGGCTGGTATCCCTTCCTTGATCAAGATGTAAATAACTTTGTAACTTCCAGGTAAACTTTTGAGAACACAGTCTCATGAGGGATAGTACTTACTTAACATTGTGAAATAGCTTAAGACAAAAGCAGATGGAAATCATTGTAAAAACCAAATGTATTTCAGGATTTCAGTTGCTTTCCTTTACGATGTCATTATTTCTATTAAAGCACTGGTCTTGCTAGAGCATTTACCATTTTATGATATGACATGTTTAAGTCAGTGTTTTACAAGGTAGAGAAAAATATCTAATTATTGACCCATCAGAGATATAATCTCTAGCCATGGAGCTTTTGTTATATGTATTTTATAAGCAAAAATTATTCATTTTTCTATTTTTCATAGAATGTAAGATGCCAATGGGATTAAGCACTGGTATCATATCTGATACACAGATCAAGGCTTCGGAGTATCTGGGTAAGTTATAGTGCCATATCCTATGAATGGCATCCCCTACAATTGTGCAGTACTTAACCTGTGAAACTATACATGACAGCCATGCCTATGGGGCACTTCTTCTCTACAGGCAATATTTCTCTACCACAATATAGTGGAGCAATTCCATTTGGGGTGATCATCTGGTAGAGGAAGGAACACTATGGCAGGAGCTGAAAGCCTGTTCACATACTCTTATCACCACCACCCACTCTCGTATATTATGTTCCCAAAAGGGTTTCTTCTAGGGAAAGCCAAGAGCTAAGGTTTATTGGTATCTCTACATAGGCTGGGCACCTCTCTACAGGGATTTGGCAGGAAGTAGATAGCTTACTTTTATGACCATGTGCCCATTTCTAAAACTCTTTCCATTCATCTTTTGTGGGTTTTATTGCACATATAATATTCCAGCCAGATTTATAGGGTCTTAGCAGCCAGGCAAATATAGTCCCCATTAATATGGCCCTTTGCCTGTGCTAACCATTCATCTATTCAAGAAACTTTGTTGATCACCCACTATGAGTCAGGAACTCCTCCTAAGTTTCCTCATTCTGCCTCAAAGCCTTTCCCAAGATCAGGAGGTCATGATAAGAGGATCATGAGACTTGCATGTCTCATGATCTTCTTCCATGTCTTCCTATGAGGCAGGCATATTCACAGCAGACACATCAACATGTCTGAGAAAAGGCAAACACCACTCATGTGCAAGAAAGGGGGTGGGTAGTGGCTGACAGCTGACCAAACACAGGTCTGAAGCCAAGAGCTCATCAAGGACTGGCTCAGTAGCTGAGGCCCATGTCAACTGCTTGGTCTCCTAACTGCAATACAGGTTCTCCAAGGATCTGGTCTTCCCCTTGATCACACTCATCTGAAAAATTGCTAATTGTTTGGGTTTTTTAAAATTCAGAATAATTTTTTTCTTCCTTTCTATTTAGGTTATTGGGAGCCTAAACTAGCAAGATTAAACAATGTTGGATCATATAATGCTTGGAGTGTAGAAAAACTTGCAACAGAATTTGGCTCTAATCCTTGGATTCAGGTATGTCTTAATAGCCTGATAATATTTGCTGCTATTTTAATAAAAATGGCAACGATTTGGTAATTTCTTTATGTTGTTCTTGTAATATTGTTAAGGGAAAAAGCAATTGCTAGATGCTAGGCACCTAGGCACCTGTTCTACGTACTTTACATCCTCAAAATCATCCCTCTGAGATTGGTTCTAGTAATATACCCTTTTATAGATGAAAAAAACTGAGGCATAGAGATGCTAATCACCTTCCCAAAGTAACACCCAGCTAGTTAGTGCTTGCACTGGGATTTAAGTCCAGGTACTCTGTGTTCAAGTATGGATTGCATTTAGTCACTTTATCAGTTTGCTAAGATCTTAGGTGCTGGTTCTTTAGTTCTAAAGAAAGTTAATTGTATAATTCATTAAGATAGTATGTGACTCATTGACAAGGACTGTTGTGTTTACTGGCTTTGTTATATTGCAGGTGGACATGCAAAAGGAAGTTGTAATCACAGGTATCCAGACCCAAGGTGCCAAACACTACCTGAAGTCCCTCTATACCACAGAGTTCAATGTGGCCTACAGTTCTGACCACACCAACTGGCAGATCTTCAAAGGGAACAGCACAAGGAACGTGATGGTTTGTGTGCATGTTTCTATCTGAATCTCAAGACTCAGCCTAGGGTTATTATGACTATATCTAATAACCATCTTAAAAAAAACTAAAAACCTCCTTGGGTGTTAGAAATGCGAATGCCTTTCTAAGGGTCTTATGGAGAAAAGTGGTGGGTGATGGGTCTATGCATCACAAATTAAAGAGATAAGTGGGATTACTGAAACTTCAAAACCCTACAACATTTGAAAAAAATCATTTTATCATCAAACGAAATACTCAGACTTCTCAGATTGGCAGATGGTATACAGCAGAGTAGAGTATCTGGTCTTAAGCCTCAAGGAGTTTGTGCTAAAAACTGGTTACCAAGAGCTTTGATGTCACTATTGCATTCTATTTTGTTCTTTATACCAATGTACCTGAAGGAAATAGTAGTGTTAATGCCAGCAATGCCCTGAGGCAGTGTGATTCTCAGACTTTTGGGGGGCCATGCCTGAGGAATGACATTCCCCTGCTGGACCTTCCTTTGGCCTAATTCTCCCCATCCTCCCTAAACTCCCTCCCCCCAAAGAAAGCTATCTAAGTGCAAGGGATCTATCTGCCATTGAATCTGTTTCAATTTTTATTTTATGCAAATCATTTAGTATTTTACTATTTCTCTACACTATAATTTAGTTATTTCTAATAAATTTATAATAAATATATCTTAGAACAAATCATGAAAATCTTAAATCATGGTTCTTACTAATCAGTATTTAGAGTGAGAACACAGATTACAGTTGAGTCCCTAACCTAAAGTTTTTTGCATTTACATTCATGAGAGATACTGGTACGTAGTTTTATTCTTTTGGGCTGTCTTTTTCTGTTTTGGATACCACAGTAATACTAGCTTCATAAAATAAGATGGTAAACATGCTCTTCTATTCTACATTCTGGAAGAGAATGTCTAGAATTGGTATTAATTCTTCAAACATTTGATAGAAATTGCCAGTCAAGCCATTTGGGCCTGGAGATTTCTTTCCGGGAAGTTTTTCAATTACAAATTCAATTTTTTAAATTGAATTGGACTATCCAAATTATCTATTTCATATTGGGTGAGTTGGGATATTTTATATATTTCAATAAATCAGTCCATTTCCTCTAAGTTGTTAAGTTTGTGTGTGGAGTTGTTTGTAGCATTCCCTTATTATCCTTTTGATATGTGCAGGGATGTTGTCTGTTTCATCTCTGATATTATAATTTGCACTCCCTCTTTGTCAGTCTTGCTGGAGATTTGTCGATTTTTTTCTCTTCTCACAGACCCAGCTCTTTCATTGATTTTTTGTTCTCTATTGTTTCTTTTGTTTTCAATCTTACTGATGTCTGTCTTTATATGATGTGTTACCTGGCTTTTCCTGCCATTGCTCTGGCAAGGAAGGGGACAGGGCACAGCCTGGTTAATGCCAGGTGGCAAAGTCCAGATTCCCCACTTCTTTGACACCTTAGAGGCAATTGCTTGTCTTTGCTAATGGGTAGGGGATGGGAGTCCCCCATGTGGTCTCCACTGGTACTGCAGGGGAAGGAGCTTCATTAAGGGCTGGAGGAGAAGAAAGTCCTGGTTCCCTGTATGGCATTTTCTGACACAACCCCAATGAGGGTGTTGGGGTGCCACTTTAGTCTCATGAACATAGAAGTCTAGGCTCCCCACTCAGCCTCTGCTGCTGTGGGTGGAGGAGGGCCAACAGGTTTGGGTGGCGTTTGGCTGAAGTAGGGAAGTTATTGTCTCAAAGTTTTCTGTCTTGCTAAGGCTGCGCTTACCTGGTCCTTTGGCTACAGAAAGCAGGCTTTTGTTGGGGCTTTTTTTGTCTGTACCCATCGGTCTGTACCCAGATTGCTGCCTTCTTTATCTCTAAGTCTGGGATATATGAGGCAAAATAAAACAAAAAAGGAAACACCCAGGGAACCCACCACCGTGTTGTTCCTTCTAAGAACCCTAGTCAGTCTGTCTTCTTCTCTCCTCTTTTCAGAGTCTTCTTATGTTTCTCTTAGGTATAATGCCCAGGGTTTTTAGATGTACTTAGCAGGAGAAATAGGATAAACTACACCTACACCATCTTCTTAAAACTATCCCCAATTATATTTTCAGACCAAATTGATTTGGTTCGGGCCCCAGGAAAACTTAATATCACAATATTAAACTCTAGATTAAAATTTTACTATAAAATCACTTTATTGAGAATTGTTAAATAACTAAGCTTTCTTCTTTTCTTCTAGTATTTTAATGGCAATTCAGATGCATCTTCAATAAAAGAGAATCAGTTTGATCCACCTATTGTGGCTAGATATATCAGGATCTCTCCAACTAGATCCTATAACAGACCTACCCTTCGACTGGAACTGCAAGGGTGTGAGGTGAATGGTAAGGAGCAAAGATGCGTTATTTTCTCACTGCCACTCAGAATTAAGATTTGGGAGGTATGGGAGAATGAGTAGAATTTTTAGTTCTTTTCAATGACTTAGGCTCCTAGAAAAACTTTGTTTTTGGATGGATGGAACACGAGTTCCATTCAGATAAACTCTCAGTGTGATCTAGACTGAGACTGGCTCTACCAGCCAGAGGGCAGGTACCACCTTTCTGAGCAGTGCCTGGATAATATGAATACACCACCATAATCCTCCAAGGGAAGGCTCTAATTTGGAATTACCTCCATCAGCCCATTTTCAGTAAGAACTACCTGAGATTCAACCTAGGCTTGACTCTTCCAAAATCCTCCAGGTCATTCAGACATAGTGTAATAAAAGTATCAAGCAACGTTACTGGCATATATTTGGTGTTCAATGAGTGTTTTCAAAATCTGAGTCTGCTTCCCAACTTTCTAAACCATGATGTACTCTATACTCGCTTTAGTACTCTAGGTAGGTACTCAAGCCTTTTCTATGTAAGCTGCAATTTTTCAGGGGCTGTAATGTGACCTGTGGTATACATAAATCCAGGTAGTCATAATAGTCATAATAAAATTCTGCCATATATAATAAGGATGTTTAAGAGTCTTATCAACTATTCTTCTTGGATTCTTAAAGCAGTGATTTTCAATATGTTTCACTTCAAAGCACACATAAAATATAGCATTCTCAGGTTAAAAAGGTGAGGTGATGGGACTCACCTTAAGCCAGATGGGGCTTGGCTGATCCAGGCCCCACCTGGCTTCTTAAGGGATGAGGCGGCAGAGGGATCAATAAATAGGTACACCTGTTGGGGAGCTAGAGCACCTCATCTCAGGTTGGAGGGAAGCAGCCATGATTCACAGTGGAGAAAGTAGCTGAACCTTGGAATCAGTTTCTTATCAAAGCAGATATGAAAACATACATACCCTTCACATTCATGAGAGATATGGATATGGGCATTTTGCCAATCCGCAGCTAACAGTAGTATATAATATCTCCCATATAAAACACAAATTTTATACAGGCAGGAGCATGCCTTAAAAATAGTTCCATAAGTCACTGGGGTTTTTTTGTTTCCCTATGATATATGGTATAAATGATAGATGTGTTCAAATAATAGGCAAGCTACCCTAAAATGTGATATTTAACTCTTAATTTATTGAAAACATCTATTTTCTATGCAGGAAACATTATTTTCTTCTTATTTCACTTTCTTGATACTTTTATAATTAGCAATAGGTGTTCTTTTTAGGGCTTTTTTTCATGGAAAAAGTAAGGTATCACTTCAAGAAAATTTGTGAATGCTTTACTAGCAAGGACAAAGTGTCACAAAGGTGATGGGCAGTCAGATAGGCTTACTCCCTAGCTATGTTTCTTACAGTCACAGGTCAGTCTTGCTGCCTATAATGCTCAACTTACACCTTGGCAAAATTCCAAAGGGTATATAACATGAATTACCTTCCAAGGATTGAAAAGGAAAATATTAAATGGTAGCTACCAAGAGTCCATTATATCTTCTTTCTATCTTTTTTTAAGAAGAAGAAGAAACAGAGTATATTTTTTATATAAGGCTAGTTTAGGATTATTGTCTACCTCAAAGCAAGACAGAAGGTTCTATGACTCTCTGAAGGAGGGGGGTGAGTATAAATGTTTACAATGTGGTATTTGATGTCAGACTCTGGGCTCAAATTCAGTTTCTGGTTCTTCTGGATTTGTTATTGTTTCTTGTTATATTTTGTTTTCTCATTTGTAAAATGGAGATATGGGCATTAAATAATACATATAAAATCTGAAAAGTATTTAGCACTTGGATTCAATTAATGTTCATTGTTGTGATCGTTATTTTTGTTGTATTATTTCTTGTATTCTCTGCAGTACAAAATGCTATGCAGTGAATATTGATGGTGCATAATTAATTACATTACTTTTCTCTTGACAGGATGCTCCACACCACTGGGTATGGAAAGCGGAAAGATAGAAAACAAGCAAATCACAGCTTCCTCCTTTAAAAAATCTTGGTGGGGAGATTACTGGGAACCCTCCCGTGCCCGTCTTAATGCCCAGGGACGTGTGAATGCCTGGCAAGCCAAGGTGAAATATACTCTATACATAGAATTCTCTCAGCTCTCCAGAAGAAAACAAAGGCCCACACTACAGGGGAACATGGTGGGGCTGTATCTAGGGAGCAGGAATATCACCTTGTGTTTCTGCAGATTAAAATCCTAGGTCCAAGAACCTAGGCTATCTGTAGACTTGATAACTTTAGCTCTAACTTTGGCTCACAAGAGTTACTATCTCTGAAATTCTTGGTCTAGCCTTGATTTAAACCAGCAGTGGGTGAAATTTTTCTGCAAAGAGCCAAACAGTAAATATTTTAGGCTTTGTGGGACATTCCTTGTCATAACTACTCAACTCAACCATTGTCTAGGAAAGCAGCTATAAACAATATGTAAATGGACGAACTTAGTTATGTTCCAATAAAACTTTTTTTGCAAAAAACAGGCAGGGGCCCAGATTTGGCCCATGGGCCATAGTTTGCCAATTCCTGATTTAGCCACTTTATGTTAGTGATAAGCAAATGATTTAGATTTGCAACATCAACTCTTATTTTTTCTTCACAATATAGCAATATTTCATTTCCTTAAGAGTACTATTTAAACTTTTTTATTCCCATTTCTGAAGAGCTTTGTGACATTCCTTGAGAGAACTGGAGGTAAAGTAAGATGATCCAGGGTTATAAATCAGTGATCTAATTAAACACCTTCCAAAGTGTTGTATTGTCCCTTATATTAATTAGGCCATTAAGTATTTCAGATGACTTAATTTCAGGGTAACTGTTAACAGTTGACTTGTTTTTATTTCATTCTTCAACTAATCTGAGAAATCAGAATGGCATGGGTAACTGTATGATCCCTTCAGCCAACTAAATCTAAATTCCATACTATCTCCTTCCCTTAAGACACCTACACTCTAGAATTCCAGGACCTATCTTTAAAGTAGGCCACCAGAAAGGAAAAGTGAATTGTGGTGCTAATGGAGTAAAAAGGAAAGCTTGGACCCCACACAGATAGTTTTGAGAATGAATGCCCATGCCTCAAAACTCATTCTAGCCCATCACAGAATCACAGAATGTTAGAGTACCAAGTAGCAATCCATCTGGCCCAGACGTTTCCTTTCAAGTCTAAATACACAGGAGATTAAGTAATTTTAGTTTAGTCTGGTAGCAGAATCAGAACTGGAATCTCATTCTCCCAGTAAACAGGCCAATGGCTCCTTCCTCCATTTGAAGCAGCCCAAACATCTAATTTTGCAGAGGGGAAAACTGATATCTAGTTAAAATAATAAAAATGATAACAACAATGTTATATTACATTATGTTTATACACTTTATAACATCCCATTTTTTTAGATGCTCTTCAGACCTGTTCATGGTTTAACCTTGTCACCACACCCTTTATTTTATAATCTTTAAAAATATCTGCTCTCCATATAATTTGCTCTTAGTCTTTGCAATGTAATAAAGGACCCAAAGATGAAATGCTAATTTTAATGTTTAATGCTGTCATTTTAAATTTGATATTCTGAGTTAGAAATATTTGTTTCATTTAGCCTTCCATTTGCATAAAATATCTTTATAGGGTCTCTTCAGAGAGGCTGAAAATTGAAGCCAGACACATACAGGCACTCATACTTATGCCCATCTCTTTAAAATGAAAGCATCTCTACCTCTTTTATGCTTACAAAAATCCTTTAGCTACCTACAAGAGCTGTCCGGAAAGTATCCAGCCACAGAACTGTCCTTGTTATATTAACAACAGCTGGATACTTTCTGGACAGCCCTTGTATATCCTGTATCACTGGTGCAACCTTGATTCGAAGACACACTGAGACACCAGCCACATATCGCTAGAGGATATTACAGACTTAAATTTTCTAATACAACCATTTTAATTCAATTAATTTGCTTTAAAAATAATATGTGAATATGTACATATGTGTATGCGTATATACACATACACTCATGCACATATGGGTGATACAGAGAAACTACTCATTTCATATAGAAGTGAATGAAACTATGGGACATGATAAATCTCCCAAAGGTGAGAATTTATCTCAGATTACTCCAAAACTCAGGTAGTCTTTTCTGGTCTTCTTTCTCCAGGTACATATCACCAAACATGTGATTAGGCATTTCGTTACGCCAGAGACAGGATAAATTCTGTGCATCAAGCCCCTACTATGGCTTTAACAGGTCTCTCAAATATCACACTTATTTGAAATATCAGAAAAGAAGAAATTGGACTATTTCTGTTTGACATTAGCAGGGGATAGAAAAGAGAAGTTGAGCTTTTCTAAAATAAGTTAGAGAATGCTAACTTAAAATCTCTAAAATAAGTTAGAGAATCCAAATCTTTCCCAGAAAACCCTGCAGTAATATCATCATAGTATTTAAACAAACTTGCTTAAGAGAATAATATTTATAGATAATTTAGTACTTCAATAATTTTTCCAAATAAATTTATTCATTCATTCAACAAGTATTTATTGAACACCATCTATGTGCCTTGCATTGTGGTTGTGGTGAATACCAAGAAGTAAAACTAAGTAAACCTCTGCCCTCACACAGTAAGGGATACAAACAACAAATAATTGTGTGTAGTGTAAGAAATACTGCAACAGAAATTTATGCACATGGTGTGGCAAAAAACAAGTAATGGAAAGTTTCTAGGAGACAGTGAATCCTAAGGAATGAGACAAACAAAATCCTTTTAAGCTCTGTGCATTTCTGAGTATCTTGGTCTGAAAAAAAAAAAGCAAAGGTTTTAACATCCTTCCTATCCATGTGTTTTTGTCATTTTCATAGGCAAACAACAACAAACAGTGGTTACAAATTGATCTACTCAAAATCAAGAAGATAACTGCAATGATAACACAGGGCTGCAAATCTCTGTCCTCTGAAATGTATGTGAAGAGCTACACCATCCACTACAGTGACCAGGGAGTGGAATGGAAACCTTACAGGCAGAAATCCTCCATGGTGGACAAGGTAGAGTGGCATCTTGGCAAAGAGAAAGCAATTGAAAACTGTGCTATGATGAAAATAACAATACCTTTCATTTGACAAATAGATACTGACCTGTACCACCTCTTTAAGTCTTCTAAATCCTAGTTCCTTGGGTGTCTGGTCTTGGGACAAGGACCATGGAGATCACCTTTCTGCTTTGACAGAGCCACTCATGAAATAGTTAGGACAAAACATTAGGAGATGTTACAAAGCTTAATTAGCTTTAATTGAGAAATAAAGTGAAGGGATCCAGAAGAGGTTTTGTGAAATAATACCATATTGGCATTGCCTTACTTATACTTGTTATTCGTGAACTGATCAAATCCAAGGCCACAAATCTTTCTGTGTCATATCGTTAGTAAACAGAAAACAATTAGTATCTTTCCTGTTGAGGAGACTAGATTTTCTGCAAAATGAATTACTCCCTTACATTCCTAAATAATTCTACTTCCTAGTGACATGGTTAAAAATACTACCAGAGGCAAAGCTAAGGCAATGTGCCTAGGAATGAGAATTGTGCCTAGGAATGAGAATTGTGCTAAAGCCAATAGGAGAGGCAGCACAGAAGGAAACTGTTATTTACTGAATTCTCATCAAATGCTCAGCACTTATCTCAGTTAATACATTTGAACCTGACTCTCACCTTTTTAAACTCCTGGGTTGTCTGTTTTGGTTTATTTCTCACTATGCCAGGCTGTCTTCATAGCAGGATGAGGGTGGTTGTCATAAATAGTGATTTTGCTTCTGCTGTGTGTAAATCTTGGGGAACTTGCTGAGAATGGAGGAAAAAAAAAACCATAAAACAGTTAAGAATATAATGTATATGACTAAATAAATAAATAAAAATGCATGGCCACATTGTAAATGTCAGTAATAGTTAACCATTTCTTGGTGGCCTTGTCATATGTTAACATACATCTTTAAAATTTCTGTGAGGTAAAATTTTGTTGCCCTCATTTTGGCAGTGAGGAACTGGAGAATCAGAGAATATAAGTAATTTCTTCAAAGTCACATAGCTACAAAGGGGCTAAGCGTAGAGATAGCTTGGCGGCTGCTTCACAGCATCACGTCAGATTTATTTATTTTTCTCTAACTTGGTTGAGATCATTGGTGGGATGAAGCCCCTAAAAGCGTCTACTTGGCATGTGATTTCATAACTGAGGACCATCTCCGTGATAGTGTTGTGTTCTTTGATGTGTTCTTTGATGCCCTCTGTTTGAGCTAAAAGGATAAAAAATTATCTAAGATTTTCATACATACTTATACTGGCATTAAATATTTTTCTCATTATTTTGCTTCCAGATTTTCGAAGGAAATAGTAATACCAAAGGACACGTGAAGAACATTTTCAACCCCCCAATCATTTCTAGGTTTATCCGCATCATTCCTAAAACATGGAATCAAAGTATTGCACTTCGCCTGGAACTCTTTGGCTGTGATATTTACTAGAATTGAATTCATAAGCACAGGAAAGAATCTTTAAGACATCAAACCATTTAGAGTGGGCAATGTATTTTGTGACTATTTTAAATGTTAACAATTTCTACTATTTCTCTTTTTTTCTATTAGAGAATAAAATTTTATAAGAAACTTCTATAATACAACTCCTTGCCACCATTAAATGAGATGGTGGCTATATTTCTGTATTAATTTAAATATAGATGGGAAAATATCAAGAACCAACAAGAAAATGGCTTATCTTTCACAATGATTAAAAATGCTATATAAAGTCATAACATGCTTCATTATAGCTCTTTCAAATCCTATACACATTAATAAAATCAATACTTTTGGAAACCATTTACAGACCTGCATAACTTTTATTCCTACATTTTTCTTTAAAAGAAGTATGATTTAAGAGCAAAAGAAACAAAGACAATACTTATAAATGGTTTTTCTTGACAGTGGAGAGAAAAACAATCTTATCATATGAAATAAGTGCCTAAAATGCCCTGTCTTTCCTTGATGACAATGATTCTTCTGACTCTCCATAAGTAAAGAAACAGGCAAGCACATTTTCAGTAGTCCCATTGAAGCTATGAATCTATCCTTGTCCCCCTTGGGACTGATTGCACAAATTGATGTTCAAGGTTAGTGGTCATAGATGTGGAACAGAAAACAAACAAAATAACCAAGAGAGAACTGAACATGTAACATTGGCTTCATTCTAGCACTATATAGCATGCAGTTCCCCTAAGGGAAAGCTAATACCTGTAAAACAGAACATTGGAACTTTAGGTCCAAGTGCAGCTATTCCTGCTAGAACAGACCCCTGGCCAAATTGGTAAGCAGTTGAAATTTTCTTTCAGTGCCTTTCTCTCTGAAGCCTCAACCTCCTCCTCTCTCTTCCCCCAGCAACTTCCCCTTTCATCACTCTCTTCCCCGGGAACTTGGCATCTAGTGGTCCTACAGACATTGTGGAACTGGCATCCTTGAAGTCACATGGGATAGACAGGCACTGTTGACGTTATCTATATTTGTGAAATAAACCACCCCAACACTGAGTATTTAAAACCACAAAAATTGTTATGTGAGGTGAAGCGTATGTTAATTATCTTGATTCAATCATCCCACAAGAAGTACACATATCAAAACATATATACTATAAATATATATAATTATTTTTCAGCTAAAACATAAATTTTAAAAATAACTTTAAGACACATCAATAAATTTATCATCTTTTATGGTTCTATGGGTTAACTTGGCTCAGCTGAGTGGTTTTTATTGCTGGCTTCATTTAGGGTCTCTCATGAGGTTACAGTCAGACAATGGCCACATCCAGAGTCATCTGGAGGCATAACTGAATGCTGAGACAGCTGGTCCTCTTTCACTATATGGCCTTTCTACAGGGTCTATCCACTTGATGTCTCCAACAGGGTAACTTTGTATATGGTTGTTCAGCCTCCCAAAAGCAAGTGTTCAAGAGGTAGGAAGAAGCAGCTGCCAGCACTTTTAAGGGCTGGGCCCACAACTGGTACAGCTTCACTTCTGCTGCATTGGTTAATACAAGGTACAGGGCAGACTAGATTCAAAGTAGAAGGGAACTACATAGGGCATGCATACCAGGAGGCATAGTTCATTGGGAACATCTTTAAAAACTAACTACCACAGTTACCTATTGCACCTATAGATAGGGTGAGCCCTGTGAATATATATGAGAATTTCAAATATCCACAAAACATTGGCTTCCTGCTATTTGTATTCCCATTATTTCTTCCTTTTCATGGCTCATGCCAGTGTTCCACCAACATTTCTAAGATTTTCATTCTGTTAAAAACAAGAGTGTCTGAAGATAAAGGAAACATTCTTTTGTTCTCTCCAGGGCTAGCCTCATAGATGTACAATATGTTCATTCCCATGCTTAGTTTAATGCTCTGCTGTCACTATCTTGAAATACTTAATAAGTTTAACAAGGAATCCAAGATTTCATCCAAGATTTTATAATGAGCCCCCAAAATTATACAGCTAGTCCTGGGTCTCTCTATTGCAGAATTGGACAGGAACTCTCTTGATCTAGAATCTAACTGAGGTATGATATAGGTAAGAAAACCATGTGGAGTAATAGGCAGGGGAATAGATGGGAGTAGAGCATAAGATCCAACTTCATTATCCTATTTATGAGAAAAATAAGGCCCTCAAGATTAAACAACTTACCCAACGCTAGGGCTTGTTAGTGTCAGAAATAAAAACCAGAAACCAGATGATCACACTCCCTGCCTCTCTTTCAGTCCGGTTCCTCTTTCATAAAATAGAAATTATAATGCTTATAATTCATCCTACCCTAGACAAGTAGACATGAATATTAATTGATACCTATTAAGTGATCTGAAAAATACTTGTTTGGGGATCAATGAGATGTTTGGGCTATATCTGATGCTATGTAGAAATATTAAAAGTTATCTTATTTTGAAATAAAAAGCATTTCTACTTTTTATTCCTCTCTTTGAAGTCACTTATATGAAATCACAACTTGGCTTCACAGTATATACTCCAGTGACATAACATAGTCCAATGTTCATTATATCATAACTGGTTGCCATGGAAAGCAGTTAAGTGACTCACAGTGCAATTATGACTTGGAAGGAGAAACCAACAGATAAAATCCTAAACATTAGCAGTCATCCTAATTCAAAGTTGGAAAAGTATAGCTGAGAACATGTCACAAATGTGAAAGGGTGAGAATAAATGTGAAATCATCTCTCCAGGCTCTTTTCAAGTTGTTAAAAAAAATAACAAACTTCATGCCAGTTTTTAGAATAGTTTTGAATAACCACCATATTTTGGGTTCAGGACCACGATGGCAAACTCATGCAAAAACCATTAGCCAAATATCTTGGATCCTCCCAAGGGCCATGAATGTTTCACTATTTACTTCTCTGGATAGACCAAGAAGGAGCAATTCACAGGGCAGTGGATTTTGTTTCCACAACTGGCACATGCCCTAATGCAGTGGACCTAACACATACTTAAACATACCTGAAAATTCCATGTCACCATTTTTCTTGGTTTTTTTTTCCTAATAGAGAAGTATCTTATGGAAAATTCTGAATGCCTAATTCTCCCAAGCTATTCTGTTCTCATAGCCTAGAGATAGGGAATGCCGTGGGACATAGATAAAATGACTGTGTGTGGAGTAACATTTACATGGTTACTGTCCAGATAACAAAAAGGCTTTTCATATCCAGATATTTACTGTGTTGGGAGAGACTACAGAGCTTTAAGATTTTGATATCTCTAGTTAATATAAACTGTCCCCACCAAAACACATGCATGTATTTTGCATTTGGTAGATGTAAAGAAAACTTAATATTACCCTCCCTAGATGAACCATCATCTTCATTTGTTTTTTTAAAAGTATTAAGCTCATTCTAGCTACACAAAAAAACACTATGATAGATAGGTATTATAAGGGGGAGTATATAAAGGAAATCAAAGACATTTTTCTGGCCCTTCAAATACATCATCTAGTTGAATAGAGAAGATAAACATAATAAGCAAACAGAGACTATGAGTCTAGTAAGTCTAACAGATTACACCCAGAGTAGTAAAAAGACAGGAATAGGCCGTATGGGATAGAGTCAGGCTGTGAAAGCTTTTGGAGCAGAAGAGTTGACCTACATGATTTGAAGAGGATGGTGGACATATATGAAGGAAATCTGTGCAGAATCCCAAAGGAGAGGATTGGGATAAGGGTCAATGAAAACCAGGGAAGTGTAAGAGCTTTTTGCTCAGACTCCTGTAAGTTTTCCCGGATGTACCTATGTCTTCTCCCTTCTCTTCCTGTACAGTCTGATAATGACTTACCCATGCCCCTCCCTCCATCTCCTCCAACCTGTCCACAGATCCAGTGTGTTTGACAAGTCAAAAGAAATAACAGCAGCAGCTACCCCGGATGGATCTAACAATCTGAGGTGGGGATAAGGGGCACACACAAATACAAAACATGTCTCTAATCTGAAAATTGTGAATGATAGATGGTGGTGATCAAATTATAAGTGGGTTGCCTTTGCAAATGTTATGGAAGACACCTATATGGGACAGGGTCCTGACTTGGTTGGGGTGATAGGAAAATAGCACTGGAGCACAGAAAAGAGGTGCAAGAATATTTTGTATGTGGGGAATTGACTAATAGAGAGATGAGACAATTACAGGGATGTTTGGACAATGGCAAGACTTCAAAATGCTTATGTGATGGTTTCGTTTTGTTTTACCACTGGTCCACATTTAAACCACCTCCAGTTCATCTGCACTTTCATGTTTTACACTTAGGGGCAGCTTCCCAGTGTCTCAGGAATGATATACAGATAATTTCATACACTCACCTGCTTTTTAGCATCATGAAATTTGATAATAGGTTTATCATTTTATTTATTTCAACTACCTTGTATGAAGTTCCTCCTTGCTGCCTAAAAGGCTTTCTGAAAGTCTGAAATGTGGCAACCTTGTTTACAGACACGACAGATAAAAATGTAAATAAAACTTTAATTTTGTGAGTAGTCTGAGGGAAACAGTAACAAAGGCTATATTTCTAGGTAAAATGTTTAGAATAATACTTGGCACATGGTAAGAACTATATAGGTATCGATTATTAACATTAGCAAAAATAATATAAATATGAATATAACACAGTATTAATTTCTTCTTTATTTCTAACACTTTTTAATGCTAGTCATTATTTTTAAAAATTATGATCAAATGTACATAACATAAAATTGATCATGTTAACCATTTTTAAATGTACAGTTCAGTGGCATTAAGTACGTTCTCACTGTTGTGCAACCACCAACCACCATCCACTCTGCTTTTAATTGTTGCCCTATTTTCTCCAGGTTGCTTTTCCCAGTAGGTGGCGTGTCTGGTTCAATTGTACTTAGCCAGAGTTCTGAGGACTCTCACGTAGAGGTCAAGCCTTAATTATCCAGGCTAAACAAAGAATTGAACAGCTTGCACGGACCTTTTTCAGTGGATTTAACTGACCTAATTACGTTTTTCTCAGGGGCAGGGGCTATTAACATTAGTTTACATCCTGAGCCCACAGGCCTACTATGGGATTCAGAAATTATTGTAAATTATCCACAAATTGAGAAAATTTAAACAGATCTCTGCAAGAATAATCAATTGGTTGCCAAAGAAGGAGTTTAAACAGGGAGAGGTAAACAAATTGTGCCAGAAACTAAATTATTATAGAAAGAATGGTAAGCATGCTGGATCATCGTATGCATTATGAAGACTGTAGTTTTCTGCAATGTACCAAATAGGTCACTAAAAATTACTGGCTGGTAAGGATAGTGTGGTTTGATATTTACCAGGTATTATAAAGAATCTTCTCTGCCCTCCTGGATGCTAATATTCTAAATTCAAAGTTCTCATGTTTCTTCAGGTGGCAAAGTGATAGGAAAGCACAAAATAAAACCCAAATGACTAAATACAACATTATTTTATGTATGTATGAATGAATATATTTATTTCTCATCTTGTCCCCCCAAGAGTTAAGGTTGCTTAAAAGAAAACATAACATACTACCTGACAACGTATGTAAGAAGCAGGAGAGAAAACTAGAGATAGAAACCTAAACAGGAAGTAGAAAAAGGCCAACATGAAAATGCATACCATAAAGCTCTTGATCTTGCTATGGGTGAACTTAGGTTTAGCAAAAGTTTAATAGCCAATGCAAAAAGAAAAACCTTATAGGTTATACAAAAGTGTCCCCAAAAAATGTTCAAAAGCAGCACATTTTTATTGAGATTAAAAATAAATCTGAAATTAAAAATAAATTTCTCCTGAAGGTCTATAGAAAGAGACCACCATGTAAAGTACAGAATATCTCTAACAAGAACAGATTTTTATAGGGCTATTTCCTGTGCAGCCCTAAAGAGTGGCTGAAGCTTCCCCACCAAAGCACAGTTCAGTAAAACCAAGTCTTCAAAGCCCAAGTGCATGGCTCTCTGCCAGTCTGGCTGAAGCCAAAGGTAGATTTTGCCTTTGAGAATTTTAGTCTCTAAAATTAGTTTTCCTTCAGGCAATGGCTCATATCATAAATATTGTTTCTCTAATTCATGATTTTGATAGCTATTCTATGGCAATGAGCTCAAGATTGTACACTCTGCAACGTGTAACAACTACATATTTGCAAAGTTATGTTCTTGCACCAGAT